ATGTTACTTTGCAAACTTAAGTTAATCTTTCATTCTTACTGCAAGTGGCAGATTTCAAGAAGTTTTACCTCATGCGAGGTCTACCTTTATCGCCAAAAGGGCGAGAAATGAGTTGTTACCGATTTTGGTATTATGTTTTTCAATTACTCGCGCGTAAAAACTAAAGTTGATGTATAATAGCGTTGTGTAAAGACTTAAATATTGTAAAAAGTTATTGTATAAATTTTATTTAAAACATTCTAGCAAGAAAGAAGTTTTAGTCTGAAAGACTTTTTGAAATGTAGTATTTCAATGTAGAAAGAATTGGCACTTGCTTTGAAAAGAATAGAAGTTAACAATGTACTACTAATGTATGTTTTCAAATGTGTAAAATTAACGGCATGTTGATATGTTCTTATATACAATGTGAACTGTTATTTTAAATGTTAAGAAATACCGTGATATGGTAAAAGTGAATGTTGCAATTTTTTTTATTCGTGTGACTGTAAAAGACTAGATCATGTTGAATATGTGTTAAAGGTTGAATGATGTAGTTAGGCTCTCTGACGCTACACTTCAGAGTTAGACACTTTCAGAATAGTACCTCAGGGTTTAGAGTTGAAATTAGGGTGTGTCACGAGGTCTTGGCATGTTGAATTTTAACACGTTAGTGTTTTGATTGTAGGAGGAAGTGTGGAACACGTAGACAGAAACACATTCGTGTTTGGTGTTCTTTTACAACACATGTCAGAGAGCACGGGGAGAGATAATTAAAATAGTCATGAATGAAATAAGAATGTTAAGCGAAGTATAATTATATATGTTACTTGCCATTTCATTGTGTAACATTTCATTAAACTAGTTTTCCTTCCAGATCTCTGGAAGGAACCAGAATTGAATAAAAGCTCCTGTTTAGATGCAGTACAGATGAAAACAAAATTGTGTATCCTGGGAGCTGCTATTGTAAAAACAAATTTCTTTCTTTTAAATTTCTAGTTTCTAGCGAAAAATATTTGTAAAAAGTTTGGCCTCGCGTTAGATTCTAGAGCTAAAAGTTTTCAACAAGGTCGTTTTAGACCTCAGTTTCAAACTAATTAACTCTGGCGGGAAGTATGTAAGGATCTTAAGTTTTACTAACGTTTATTTTATTTTAAATCTTTACTATCACTTCTTATTTTCTACTTCCGGCCAGAATTATAAGCGTTAAGGTTTTTATGCAAAGTTTGTCTGGCGAACGCCAAGTATTTAAGTTGTGGCTTTTTGCCAAGCGAGAGAGAGGAAGCAATGAGTCGAAGCAGGCCGCTTATCTTTGAAGTTACGCAGTTGCTTGTTGCCTTCCAGGCCAGAGGTTTTAATCCTCTTGATAATTTTTAAACGTATTGTAGTGTTCACAGTTCTCTGTACTACATACGCTTCCTGTTAATATAAGGCCAATCTTCCACGTTTATTATTCTAAAGTTAAATTAGAGTTTAGCTTTATTTTTATACTTTTACGTTTTGACCCCAAGTAGCGGGTCGGTGTATTCCGAAGTACGGAAGTTTTTGTAAAATAGAGAAAAATAAAGGGTTTTGTATACCCTTCTTGCGTATCCTGTTTACTTCCCACAGTTTTGAACATAGCTTTAGTAAGCTCTCTGTTCCGAGTCAGGTCCTTGCATGTTCCCGAAGAAGGTTAGAAGGAACATTGACCCTGATAAGCTGACTTTCGAAATAATAAGCATCATATTTCCTTTAAAGATAAACTGCTTTGCTTTCGTAAACAAGATATTTTGATTATCATGTAAACTTTTCATTTAACACTAGAAGACTTACGTATTTACTTGGCCATGTATAAAAGAGCCCTTACATTTTACATTTTAGGATAAATTTTAAGAAATAAAATTGTAAGTGAACATTTGATGAGAACATTATTCTGGTTAGAATTCATTTATTTCTGATTAAAATGAAACGCGAATTATAAAACTGAATACAATGTTTTACAATGGTATAGGAAAAAAAAGGTTAGGAAAAAATCAATGGTACATCGTTACTTATTTCTTCCCACGCGTACCAATAACCATAATAGTGTCACGCAGGCCTCCGTTGAAGTTGCTCAAATAGATGTAGCTATTATAATTAGCGGTAGTTACACAATACAATATATATATATATATATATACATACAGGGTGTATCAGTACAGCGGTGACAAACTTTAAGGAAGAGACAGAGTACACCTAGACGATGGGAAGTCATATAGCAGTTGCATGGTCGGAAACGCATTCCTGGCGCAGCAATGACGACACAAAACGCAAAAAAAAAGGAAGGACACAAACGGTGAGATAAAACATGTTTTATTATGTTTAGTGCAGCAGAAACCTATAAATAAGAACAAAAACAAACAACAATCGTCATTAAAGAAGGTGTTCGAAATAACGACACCGGATCATGATCCAGGCCTCACTTCCCTGGCGGATGGAAGATCTGCATCACGAATGGAAGACCGCATGGAAGATGCATGATGCATGGTTCCTGCATCGCGGTCCGTGTCGTAATTTCAAACACCTTCTTTGATGATGATTGTTATTTTTTGTTTGTTTTTGTTGTACTCCGAATAATAAACATGTTTTCTCACCCCGTTCGTGTTATGTACATATATATTATACAGGGTGTCCAGTAAATGTTACGAGAAACTTTTTGGGAGGTAGGGTACATCATAAGGATTAAGAATTGGATAGGAACCCATGCCCAGAAACTTCACTGTATGCCGCCAGGGGTTGCTGTACAGGAGAGTGCTAGTGGAAAGTGAGGATTGCCTCATTCGTGCGGTAGGTACCATACGAAGAATATGGAACGCTATATGAACGGAGAGCTTGCAAACATGCACTTAGTGTATGGAATAGCTGAGAGTAATGGACCAGCCGCTGCGCACATTTATCGAGAACGCTTTCCCGACAGACATCAACCACACCACAGTTTGCTTCCACGTCTGCATCAAAATTTTTGCGACTACGGGTCATTAAGAAGTCCCAGGACAAGTGAGGGCAGGTCACAATCGACTCGCTTGGTCGATGGGAAGAAAGTGTGTGGGATACGGTGGAGAGTAATCCAATGACCAGCATGCGTGCCATTGCCTTTCAATTAAGAATGTCTCTACCAATGTTCAGCGTGTCTTCAACGCTGAGTCCTTCCACGCCTTTCGTCTCCAAAGGGTTCAGCTATTGCTCCCGGGTGACCATCCTGAACGTATGCGTTTCGGACAGTGATTCTGCAAGAAAGTGCCCGGGAAGTTAATTTCCCAGCTTATGTGTTGTTCACGGATGAGGCCACATACAATAGGGATGGCGTATTCAATCATCACGATCATGTGGGTTCAAGAAAACCCCCTCGGTTGGCGGCACCACGCGGCACAACAATCCTTCAAAATTAATGTAGGGGGGGGGGAGTTTGGTTGGCGATTGCTTAGTCGGGCCGTACCTTTTACTATCCACGTTAAATGCCGCGAATTGCCTGATCTTCCTGGAGCAGGTTCTTTCCGGCTGACGATCCACCAAATGTTGATGTTCCACCAAATGCGAGGCGCAACATGTGGTTTCAACATGATGGGGTGTCTGCTCATTTTGGACTGGATGTTTGCAGCCGTTTGTTACAGATCATTCCCGCATCGATGGATTGGGCACGGTGGACTGGTTCCTTGGCCCCCATGTTCATCGTGCCTTGATTTCGTTTTGTGGGGAGTGATCAAGAGTGTCATATATCAACGATCCTGTGTGTCTGAAATGGATCTCGCGGCAAAACTCGCCTGCGCAGCTGCTACAATCAAAGAAACTCCCGGTATGTTTGGACATGTCCGGCAATCAATGGTCAGTCTGTGCCAGGCATGTTTGGCGTCTGATGGTGCAAACTTCGAGCATCTGCTGTAATATTCAAGCTATCGTACACTATTTGTATTCATGTCCAATTAAATGTTTCAAATTAGTCACCCTCTTGTTTCCTTTCCCATCCTCTATCTCTGCTACCACTTACCCATGTCATTTCCGGGCATGGGTTCCTATGCAATTCTTAATTCTTATGATGTGTCCTACCTCCCCTAGAAGTTTGTCGCAACATTTACGGGACACCCTGTATATATACAAAGTGATTCTGAATTGTTTTTACAAATTAAGATGGGTGACTGTACTTATCCAGATGAGCAATAATCACCATAGAACATAGGGTCCGAGAGGAAGAAAAGAGGAATATTACAATTCCAACCTGAACTTACAGCAGTGTTTGGAGAGCGAATGAACGAATCCAAAAGTGGCGCAATCAGTTTAGTGAAAAACTCACAAGAGTGCACAAAACGGATAAAACTAAAAACTTGGCGTTCGAATGTTAATTCGAGCTCATACTTTGATGGAATGCAACAAGTTAATTATCTAAATTGGTAGGGGAAATTTATCTATTAGGGGGATAAACTGCTACTTTGATATCAAGTATCAAGGTAGCAGTTTTTCCCCCTTCGCCATCTTCTATCCTGTCCTCCTGGAGTTACTGTGTTACAGTCATGCTACTTGAAGCGCCCTTCTATGGGACACGAAGTTCTGACAGCCGTAACACTGAACTTTTCATGTTAATCTCGGCATACAGCGGAAGTTGGAGTTAGTTGATAATATTCAGCCCTTGATTAGATAGTTAACTTGTTGCAATCTTTTGTGAGGTTGAGACCTTGCCAACCAAAGATGTGCATTTGAGAGTTTGCCATCAAAGTCTGAACTCGAATTAACACTCGAACGCCAAGTTTTCGGTTTTATCCGTTTTGTGCACTCTCTGTGAGTTTTTCACTAAACTGATTGTGCAACTTTTGGACTCGTTCATTCGCTCTCCCAACACTGTTGTAAGTTCAAGTTGGAATTCTAATATTCCTCTTTCTGCCTCTCCGAGTGGAATGCAAGCCTATGTTCTATATTAATTATTTCTCATCTGGATGAGTACTGTCACCCGGTATATTAAACTTGATACTGATGTAAATAACGCAAAAATTAAAGATAATATTGCATTTCAGATGAAAGGAGCTTCAGTCGGCAAGCCAATGGCGCCTTACCGTCGAAGAAGAGCTTTCAATGAATCAGAAGAAATGCCTACTCCATTACCAGTAGTCATGTCTCAAACGGCAACTTCTACAGTTGCCAGTGTAATTACTTCCACATTGTCTGAAGAACTACCAGTAACACAGGAAAACATGGAAGAGAAGTTCCTTCGCAATATTTCTGAAAAGACTCACAGTATGTACTTTACCTACTTCACTGACTTTTACATTAAATGAGTATACCCTCTTATAACCTGAATTTAATACAACTAGAGCCTTACAGCATGAATAATTTAAGTTTAATTCTTAAAACTGGCAAAATAACAGCGCAGCCTCAAAATAAAACTGTTATAGAATTCAAATTATTCATGTTTCCATTTTTACGCATTCATTTATATATTTATAACATTTTTTAAAGAATCATTAATTTTTCATTATATTTTAATGTCTTAAAATTAGTGCTTTATACCTGATCTAAATTGACTGCTAGAAAGGTTACCTCTGTTCATAAAATTTTTTAAATATTACAGGTTAATCACTTTTGATCAGGTAATGTACTCATATACAATGTGATTATAATATTATTTTTCATATAGATATATATACTCATAATTTATGTTATAAATCAATAAAATTGTGTATATACTTTTTTAATTAACGTAAACCAAATTTTTCTTTTAAATTCATTAATTTACACCTACAGCTAGAACATTTGCACTTCGCAAGTTGTTCCTTTAATGCTGATCATTTAATAATACTCACAGTTCTTGAAAAAATATCCATACCTGTACACTTTGTAAAATGTTTTGAAATTAATATGAAAATCTTCAGAAAAATGGTACATTATTGAATCATAAATGTTAACAATTAAGAAAATATAATAAATTTCATTTGTTTGTAATAAATTTGTAATAATTTTCGTTTGTAATAAAGAATCAGACATAAATTCGATTTTAATTGCTGTAGAAATATTATATCACATACCGCAGAGTTCATTAAGTTATCGGTGTTGTTTGTTTCAGCTACTATGAATTTGAAATTAAAGAAAAAGATAAAATAAAAGAAAGGCATAAAAGAAAAAAGTGTCTGTTTAATTAATTGCCTGGGGCAAATCAGACGAAGATTATCCAACTTAATTTAAGGATGCCTTTGTGGAGCCGAAAAAACTGGTATCAAAGGTCACTCGGAAGACAATCACGAAACTTCCGACCAGCTAGCTCGCTAAGCCACATGTAATCGAATTAGAGATGGGCTACCAGTTTCAGTCGAATAGTAATTGGGATATTCTTGGGGTGACAAATGAATTCGGTTTTATAGAAATACAAACATAGCAATACGACAATCTGTAACTTTCAGGTGTAATAAAACGCAAGAAGAAAATAAACTAGAGCTTTGGGTTAAACTCTTAGCTCACTTACATGCTAGAATGGCCGCCTATTATGTTAATGTATACTAATGCGTTGAAGCAGAAGTTTAAGAAAGCGTACATGACTTAATATTATGAAAATCGATATCGCTCAAAAATAATTAAAACTCAATTATTAAATGTAAGTGTATACTAAATAAATTTTAAAAATTCATTCACACATATGATGAAATATGAGAATACAATAATCAATTAGCGTTCCATAATTAAACGGAAATAAAATCAAGAATTTATCCTGAAATACTCAATAAATTTAAAAAAAATTCGGCACGTAATTTATTCTTTATGAGCACTAAATAATAACAAATTCATGCAGACATTATTTATCGTATTTATTCAAGACTACTCCTGAAAGTATGAAAACGAACGTTTCAGAAAGGCTAGTAAGGAATATAATCACTTCTGTCTGTAGTGCAGGTTCACAAAAGACCGGTACTGTTTAAGAAGATACGGGAGCAGCCAATTCAATTCTTTCACCAAAGAGCTTGGGTTCAGGAAAAGGCTTGACGTTATGCAATTCATTTTCACAGAGCATCCTGAACATGCTTTACAGCATTTATGCTGAGAGATTAGGTCGGTCACATGAACCTCTTCATATTCTTTTAAACTTATTCATCGACAAATCGAGCATCTTCGTCCGTAAGAAAGATAAGGATTTTATATTTGTACTTCAAAGCTAACAGAATTCTCTGAAACTCGTTGAAGACACTTACTTATCCATCGTGATGTTACTCTAAAGCAAGAGCCTATCATCACCCCAATGGCCAACTTTTCTTAGGTTAGAAGAAGTATTTTAGTTCCTTAAGTCTCTGGATTTATATAGGTCGCTTATCTTACAACTGTCTGATGTAAACTTTCTGTCAAATCGTTTTATATCTTAGGACGCGTAACGTATGATTCCACTGTTCTAAAGCGCATATGTGTTAAAAGCATAAATGTTATCAGTGGTATTGACAGAACAATATTCTAAAGAACGGGCAGAAACATAGAATGAGGTATTCAGCTGTACCTTCAGGGATGGATGGCGAATATATTTTCAGCATTCACTAAGAATTTTATTATTTACACATGGATACTCGAAATTTGAGATGTAATAAATTATTGCTAATTTTAATCTTTAAACAAATAACATAAAGTATTAATTTTATATGAATCATTATATATAATTAGTTACTTGTATAAAATCCATATGAAATGCTTGCTTAAGGCGTTAGGTTTTGTTCCAATAATTGAACTGCTTTCATTTAAAAATTAAAAGAATATTAATTAGTTACAGTTTGTGAAAATTTTCAACACTTAAATAGTAAGAGAAATATGCCTTAAAATTAGTCAAAAAGGCAACCTTAGTTTGGCGTAGATTTTGAATAAAACTCTCCTGACATTTCTTTGCTCTTAAAGAACATGGATCTGTGTCTTATCGCCCTCGAATTCGATAGAGTTCTATTCGAAATCTAAGCAAAACTAATGGTGCTCTTTTGCCTAATTTTTAGAAATTCAATACATGGTTTAACACTTTGTTTCTTTTCCTCTTATTTTTTCACTGCTGTATTAGAGGTATCTACTTATTTTTGCTTGACTAACATACATTTATTGGTTATGTTCAATTTTTAAATTTTTTTTAAGTTCCTGTCTGGGGAGTAATAGTCATTCTCATTCTTGTGTGTGGCTTATTGCTCTGCATCTGCTGTTGCTGCTTTAAGCGATGGTGCAGAAGGAGGAAGAAAGATGCAAAGAAAGGACTGAAAGGCGCTGTGGATCTGAAAAGTGTGCAGTTACTAGGCGGCTCTTACAAAGAAAAGGTAACTGTCATACTTGATAACAGTTTTTCTTTCAAACATATTCATGAATTACGAATTGATACATCTGTTGAGGTGAAAGAGTATGCTGTGCTGATATAAAATGCAGCTAAAACTGGTGTTTTGTACTCGTAAAAATACCTAAAAATTATATTGAAGTAAACAAGACATATGCTAATAAACCAGAAATGCTTCACAAGTCAAAACGCATTCTGTTTTAAAAAATTTCAACCAGCCTTTAAAAGGATTCTGAGAATACAGCTCTAGTTCTCAAATGTAAAAAACGAACAACTGAAGCTGTCGTGCATGGCCAAGCATTGGCATATTTATTTGATCAAGTTATTTAACACCAATCAATATCATTCTAAGATCAGGTGAAAACGGTTCTTTTCACGAACGCTAGTACTGCGAATACTGATGAGGTACCAAATTCCGTAAGAACATTTTCTTCATTGTTCATTCCTAAAAGGTAATTTACCGCCTAAACATCATTACTGGATGCAATGATATTCGTTTTCAGAATCTTAACGATGTAACAAAAGAACTATTAATTATGCATAGAAAACATTTTACTCAATAGTTTTATTTAAAAAAAATGTGTTTTTTTATGTCATTTGCTCAAAAAAATACATAAGGAAAATAAAGAAGCATAGATCTCAGAACTTTTGAAAGATAAAAAATAAGTAAAATAATAAAAATTTAACATAATGAATGAATATTAAAAGCATGCGATATACCAAGAAGTTTTAAATAATTTTGCTCTTATTTTAGGAAAGGTAAATTTTCCATGTGCTTTTTAAGTTAAGGATCCTTTTTCTGAGTTGTCCAAAATTCAATTTTTTCCCCTTAAAATTTGATTTTTATCATACGTGATAAAATAAACTAATTTTCTGTTACTCTAGGTTGATAAAAAAATGCTATAACAAACTTTAAAAATTTCCCTGAATAAAATCTAGCCTACAAGCAAAGAGTTCCTCTTTTGCAATAATTCTAGTGCTTGCATCATGAAAGATATCGCTTGAAATATCTTTTAAATGAAATGTATCTAGCACTCTCAAGGACTTCACCTGAGTATCTCGTATGGAATCAAAATGGAAACGCTTCTTTAGATGTCTGTCTTGGAAATAAAAATATACTCAGGGTACTAAATATGGTTAATAACAAGGATGAACGATTATTTCAAGTTTCGTTTCCTTCCAATGGTTTTTCTTCAGGATTATGGCATGGTGCATTAACGTGTGAATGCCATTTGTTTCCATCCTTTCTTAGGGTAAGGTTATTGCAATGCATATTATCTTCGCTTGTCATTTCAAAGTGCCCCAACAAAACACCTCAATGTCCCTTTCACCGCATGAAACCCACGCGGTAATGTATAATAAAATTACCAATACATCCGTTGTTGCACTCTCAGCTTGAGCAGTTTTGTCTTAGAAAACTCAAATACTTCACCTTGAAAACTTTTCATCTCAGTGTCGCATTTATGAATCAACCTCGTTGCTACGACCTGATCTTTTTATGGAGGTATCTCCATAGAGGGTATTCCGAATTGCTAAGCGTGCTAACACACTTCAATTGAAGGACTGCTCTGGAATATTTCAGTCCCAGAGCAAGCTCTGAAATAGGTGCATACATGCAGAAATCAACTGCCTTGAAGGGTTTGGAGACAAGATTTAATTTAAGCAGATTTTCGAAATGTAGCTGGGCTTGTCTAGTCCCTTTTAGATCAAGATTGTAATTATAACGTATTACCAAGAAGTGAGCTACAAGGGCTGAAATTTAATGTTATAATCTTCTCTAATTCATTTTTATGTAAAATTTAAAATTTGCTCAATGAGGCAGAATTGTATATAACAAAAATTATTAACATCTAAAATTCCAAGCAAATCTTTAAAAGTTGATCACATTAGTTCACATCAAATATTTTTCCTTGTGGTGTATATTTAATGCCAACATAAATCTGTCCTCCATATCTGAAGTATTATATGCAATGCTGGTAGAAAATGTGTCTTCTAAAAATTTATTTAAAAATACCTACTTATGCAATATGTAATCTATTACATGAAGGAAAACAAACGAAATTTTCCCAATAATGTATCTTGGATTAAAACTTTAATAATCTACATTTTTAAATTATTAATTTGTATTGGAGTATTAGAAAAGAACACGCAAATAATAATTACTATTACATTCCTGCATAATTATTGAACAATTAGTATTCATTAGTTCTGATACAAATAATGAAAAGAATTTTCAATTTAAGAAATTTTGTTTAGAAACGAACAAAAAAACTTTAAACTTATTAGCGTAGAATTGTTTGTACTTTAGTTAAAATAAATTGTAGTGTTGCACAAAAGAAAGACGAATATATTATATATATTACGAATATATAGACTTTAGATTTAGCCCAGACTATTGATATTGCTTCATACTACACATTAAACATAAATAATTAAATTTTATAAAGTTATACCAAGCATAGAATTCAAGCATAATTGTCTAAATAAATTTATATTTTATTTATATTTAATTAATTTATATTTTATATTTATTTTTATTTATAAGTTTTATTTTAATTCTTAACAAAGCGAATAATTTTATAATATTAATGAAAAATTACAAATATGTTACAGGTACAACCAGATATGGAAGACTTGCAAGACAATATGGAGGTCAATGATGGGGATCAAGTCAGCGCAAAGTCAGACCTGAAACTAGGAAGACTTCAATACAAACTCGATTACGACTTTAACACGAGTAATGTAAGAAACCCTCATAAAATTTTGCCTTGAATATACAAGATATGCTTCATTTGTAAGAGTAATAATTTTTAATTCACCTCATAAATGTATCTCTCGTTTATCATATCAAATATAGATAAAAAGTTTTGCCATAAATTCGAATTCAGATATCTCAATCGCCTTCCCCCTTCAAAAAGGGGAGTTTTTCTGTAAATTTGTGTCCATTTCGTGTACAGACTTCTCCATTTGTAATCTCTCTGTTTCAGCAAGTCATTAGTATTAATTATTATACTATATAATCTAAAATACTATATAACTTAATTAATATTCAGTATTAATTACTCTCATTTTACTACTCCTTTACTATTTCTCTTTTTACAGTTGGCTGTTACAGTTATTCAGGCTGAAGATCTGCCTGGCATGGATATGTCTGGAACTTCAGACCCTTACGTCAAGGTTTATCTCCTTCCAGACAAGAAGAAGAAATACGAAACAAAAGTCCACCGAAAAACACTTAATCCTGTTTTTAACGAGACTTTTAACTTTAAGGTATGAAACTTAATACATTGTAATTGTAGATTTGGATATTTTCATTCCTAACATACGCCTAGATAAAAATCCCTTTCCTTTTCCACACTATATCTCGGTAAAAATTTTAAATCATAATAAACATGAGGGCTTTAAACACAAGATTTTATCAAACAAATGCGAGAACTTTCTAGAAGTACAAAAGGAAATATTGCCTTTAACTTCAGACCTAAAAACTCAATTGCTAATTTACGTATTTTAATTATTTTACAAGATTCAGATTGTATAATGAGTTGTAACTAACTAGCTTCTGTGAAACACTGTGCATGGAATATCTGTGTTTCTCAAACTTATAAAATATTTTTAAATATACTGGAAAGGGTTGCTTTTAGCAAGCTAAATACAGTATAATTGCTTCAATATCGCAGATAGCCCTCTTACTGGGTAATGGTCCAAAATTAAATGTTCTGTCATTAATAACGAAATTTTCTTTTGTTCGCTTTCTTTTGCTTACATTGAAAATCTACACCTTGAAACACATTTTTTGCTTTCATTCGTTACCCAATTAATAAAACCGAATGTCTTTTAAGAGTTAAACCTGTATAATCTTGCAAAAGTAAGTCCCAACTTTCCCTGTCTTGAAACTTCATGGTGCACGCTACTTCATGTCATTTGGATTATGCTTTGATACATTAATGACACATACTAATTTCCATGTTAGGAAAATTGTAACACTTACGCAAATATTACTTTTTGTAACATTCTCTTCGTGTTTTCCAAAGTAATTCAGGCGTATTTACTGAAAACTGTTTAAGTTTATTTAAAATCATAATTCGCTTCTAAATATGAATTTCGCTGGCTTTTATAGTTATATAAAACCTTCCTTACAGACTGCTTATCTCTATCATTCGCATAGTCTGCATATTAATTACTTTTTCAGATTCCTTATTCGGAAACAGCTTCCAAAACTCTGGTCTTCGCCATCTTCGATTTTGACAGGTTTTCTAAACACGATCAAATTGGAGAAGTTAAGCTTCCTTTAAATACTTTAGATTTAGCCCAGACTATTGAAGAATGGAAAGACCTAACAAGTGTTGAAGGAGAACCAGGACAAGTAAGTTTCGTAAAACTATAAATTTATATGATCACAACTAATGCAAACTTAAGTATATAAAAATAACTAACCCTTCTCTAGTCTTTGCGTCAAAAACTGGGAAAACTGCAACAAAGCAATAAATTTAGGAAATATTTCTTTTAACAGGAGAACAAATTGGGTGATATTTGCTTTTCCTTGCGCTACGTACCAACAGCAGGGAAACTTACTGTTGTCATTCTTGAAGCAAAAAATCTAAAGAAAATGGACGTAGGAGGACTCTCAGGTATAAAATAGTTTTGTCATTATTATAACCATTTTCCCTTTATAGAAATCTCTTAAGATCTAACGTGTATAAATTATGTTTTTCCAAATAATAATACCCAATTTTTCAGATTTCTTAGCTCCATAAATACTACAAAGTCATTGTAAAATTATATTTATTAGTATAAAACAGAAACTGAGAATAAAAGTATTTTCCGAAATGATTACAGAAGAGGGAAACTGGATAAAGCGAATTTTTTTCTCCCTCACCCATCTTCTTGTGCTTACAAACTAGCCAATTATTTCATCTATGTACCTGCATCTATTCACGTTTGTATGCTCCTATTTTCTAATCATTCGCGTCTATAAAGCCGTACCCCTGATTTTTTATCGGCTTTCATGGGCCCCTGGAATCAATATGCCGTCGACGACACTCTGCTGGCCGGCGACTTATCGTTTCACCATCCATACACCACTTTCGATATGTGCTCACAACAACTGCACGTGGACAGCCCACCAAACGTGCCGTTTCTGATACTGATGTTCCCAGTTGCCAAGCCATAACGATTTGACCTTTATCAAAATCTGATAAATCAGCTGCTTTTCCCATTTATGTCGCTAATGGCACTATGTTTGGAAACACAATGCATAGCCGCTTTACAAACTCCAACATCAGGCGCGCGCGCATAGTGATTTTGTTCCTGGCGAGTCCATTGTTATAGATTGAGGGTGGTTATAATGTAATAGCTCTTCGTTGTATGGAGAGAAAAAAAAATAGTAATATGTCAAAAGTAAAAATTAAACATGTCCTGCCTATAGCTGCTGGATTGAAGTAAATTAAACTTAAAGCAATCAAAATTAAAATTAAATTGGAATCAAAACAAGGCAATTCCCTAACAATATTAATACTTGCAACTGTGGAAAAGGTCTAACATTGTAGCCAAACATAATCAAATTAATAAAAGAATTCATCATTAGAATAAACGCGAAATATAAAAATGCAATTGGTAAAATAATAAAATTAAAATTAAAAATTAATCTCCTTTGGCTGAAACTCTAATTCAGAACTCATCAGGGGAAAATTAATTAAATTTCAAAAGTCAATTAATGCGTTTCGAATACATGTTTCGTTCTTCTGAATCATTCAAGATAAAAAAATTAATAAAAGATTCAATTAAATTTTCAATAAAAACTTTAAAAACCGAAAGATCGAATCTCAATGTATCCAGAATTTTCCCTACACGTATTCGATCACTTGGAAAAAAGAGAAAATGAATAAAATACTACATTATGCAAAAATGACTACTCTAAAAAACAAAATAAAAATATGCCTAAAATGCATTGCATGCAAATCCGTCTTTCAAAAGCAATAACAAATTAATGAAGAAAAGAATTTACTTTTAAATCAAATTGTCATTTAAACAAAAGACACATATACATTTAAACAAACATACATATTTATACATGCATATATATATATATTTATATATATTTTTTTCATGTGAGTTAACCTTTCACATTTCACAACAGGTCAGATTAATTAATTTTTTAGTGCATTAGCAAGTCTTCCAGCACAAAATTTGGCAGTTTTATCGCGTATTTACAGTTTTTCCAGACAAATTTCTTATTGTGTAGTACTGTGTTACAATATTTCGTGGAGCTACAACTCCTGGTAACTTTTTAGCAAGTTCGCAGCAATGTTCCTACCTACTACTATTCTATATATATATATAAATATATATATATATATATATAATATATTCCATTCACTCTCCAATGAACTTTAAAAAGTTAAAAAAAGTTGCAAAGTTCCAACCAAGAAATACTGGATATTTTAGAAAAGGTAATGTCGCTATGCAAGTAAGATGTAAACAAGATCTTTGAGTTAAAAGTAATTTTTATGAAACTTGAATAGGAAAATTCAACTTTGATAAATCATCTGGTCAAATACATCGTTCAAAGTGTAAATGGAAATAAAGTCTACTTTCTTTATTAAGAAATAAAATTATTGTGTTCAGCTATTTTCCTTCTTACTATATGTTCCGCACTAAACTGAGGGTTAAATTTAATCTTTAATGCATGCAAAACAAGATTTTGCCCAAAAATAAGTAAAACTACAATTACATTAAAAGAAGAGAAATGATAGACTGATGTAAGAAAACAAATACGAGTTGAATATAATAACAGTGGTACGCAAATTAATGTAAAGAAAACTTAAAATGTAACGCACATATTATGAAATTAATTCTGGAAGTAAATGTAAAAATTAAAAACTGCAACACATAATTAAATGAAAAGACATAATTAAATAAAAGTTAATAATCTTTATGGTCTTTTTCAAGGAGCAGACAAAAGAATTATCAACGGAGTAACGTTTCTGATTCTCAATCTGCAAAAACTGTAATACCAAATTAACTTTAAGTGAAAATTGAAAATAAACGATTTTAATTTTTTAAATGAGTGGAATTTAAAATAAAGCATTCATAAAGCTATAAACTGCTTCGACATGATTTGTATGAAGAACATGTTATATTTTCATATTACAAATAAATGCAAATTAGAAAAAGCACTTCAGATGAAGGTACAAATTTACTACTATTTTATACGTACATTTACTTTTATAATGGCGAAATTTCTCCCCCTGTCCTAAAAGCTAAAAGTTAAGACTGGGCAACGAACTGACTACTGCGTATTGAATGTTCCTTTTCTAAAGAAAGATATTTTTCGTTTGGGGCGGTTTTTCTCATCTTTATCGCAAGCTAACTGAACAAAAAAGTGTTAGAAGGCATTATTTTCTGCGATTACTGAATTGAATGGATTACTCCATTACGATGAAACATGTGGGCTATCTGCCAGTATAAAGAACTTTCTTAGGAAAATGTGCCCAATTTACGTTGCACATGAGAAAAACCTTTGTGTAGTTCAAATTCTGCCTTCCATTTTTGTGCGAAAAACAACTTATCCAATGAAGTCATTATCTTCCTCTCAAAAAATAATTATGCTGGTCTTCTTTTCTGGTAGTGTCATGTTTGGCTATTCTAAGGGCAAAAGCCAATTCGTTGACGTAGCCATCTCAGCGGCAATGGTAACTTTTGATGTAGCTTCGAATAATTTTAACTACATTCCTCTTCTCGGGCTCTGCAATATTTGATTGTGGCCGATGAGGAACCATCTTTAATTGACGTATGCAAAGCCTTGCGCATAGGTCTTCGAATATTTGGTTAATAAACTAGGGGCCGTTGTCTGAGACAATCCTAAACGGTGCACCATAGTTTAAGATGTATTTATTTAACATCGAACACACTTCGAAAAATTATAAGCAATAAAGAACAAGTATCTGTTTTGATTAATGTCACTACGCAGGTATAGGCGTAATCCTATTAAATCATTTGGGAAAGTAACTTTTATGGTATTTAGGTACCCGGCGGGGCTATAATTTACATCGTCAACTAATTGGCAAGTGTGGCAGGACCTGACATAATCTGTAAGAAATTTTTGAAGTTTCGAAAAAAAACAGCCTCAAGCATTATTTGTACCGTTTTTCTAAGCCCTGATGGCCTGCAGTAGGTTCATTATGAAATTCTTGAAAAATACTGAGCCGTAAACTGGTTAGAATGACCGATCTTAATTCATTATTTTCTAGATGTGTCTAAACTCTGGATCAGTTTGTAATTCGGCAAAGACAGTTTCACGAGAGTCCAAGATTTTCGACGTTAACATATTACATTTTATCTCAATACCTTCTTCGTCTGGTTTTATGCATGTTAAAGCATCGGCCCCAGGGCTTTCTTTCAAGGGCGTATGTTTAACTATTAAGTTGTATTCTAGTAGATTTAAGGCCTATCTAATGAGTCTTGGAGGATAAGCTTTTCCGGAGTATAACAGACGCACAGCAGCATGATCAGAATATATTGTCACAAGTACTTTGCCGAAATATACTCTAAATTTCTGTACCGCTCAAGGCACAGCCAACGTTTTCCTATCTGTGGCCGTGTAATTACGTTGTGTTTGGTTGAGAATTGTACTAAAATAGGCGACGGGCTCACCACTGTGCATCAAAACAGTGCCTATAGCGTAATCTGAGGCGTCAGCTGATATTTCGAGATTTTGTCTTCTTCAGGAAATTTTAATATTCGCGCTTAACTGCTTTAACTGCGCATGCGTTTGAGAAACACCAAATTAGCCTCAGCTGGCCAAGAAAACCTTGCTTTTTTCGGTTTAACTTTAATAGCTGTTCGACTATCTTTTACATCTATTTATCTATTTATCTGTCTACAAAGTTTTTTATAAATGTCCCATAGTAAGAACAGATGCCCAAAAATGAAGCTAATATCTTCGCTGTGTTTGGCGACAGGTAGACCTTTTACTGCAGTTAGAATCTTCAATTGGTATGTCCCTTTGAGAAATTTTGTAGCCTAGGTACCTAAGCTCTTTTGCCACGAATTTACATTTGGCCGCATTCACGTTTAAATCTGCTTCTCTTAATAATGCAAAATCTTTATTTAAATCTTTAATGTGATCCTCAATATTCTCACTAGCCACTATTTTATCGTCGACGTAAATAAAAATCGATTTTCCGAGGACAGGTCTTTAAATTATATCCATGGTTCTTCGAAAGGTCGCCGGACCTCTGCACAAGCCAAAAGGCATTCACCAAAACTCAGGAGTGCCTGATTTTGTTATGAATGCGGTTTTTGGAATGCCCTCGGGTTTCATACCTATTTGAAAATACTCCGAGGAAACATCTAATGTCATATATATAGTCGATTTGGTTTTTCTTATGATATCTTCGTTTATACGCAGTGGATAAATGGCATATTTCGTTAAACTATTTGGATTCCTATAGTCAGTAGCAAAAGTGCCAAGCTTTAAAGTTTGTTGGAGGAAGATTATTCTTTTTCCGGCTTAACATTACCGGACTAGCATACGGACTACTGATGGGAATAACTATTTTATTTTTTAACATTTCTTCAACATGTTGCCGAATTATATCTTCTTTAATTTTACCGTACCGGTATGCCTTTGCTGTACGAGGGGCCGTTATTTTTCAATTCAATTTTATGTTGAACCACTTGAGTTACGCTCGGTTTATCAGAAAATATATCACTGAAATTTCTTACTATGCCTTCTAATTTCTTCTTCGGGTTCCAGCTCCAGGATGGGTGGTTGTGCTGCTTCCTCGTGCTTGGCTTGTATCTGTGGTTTCGTTTTTACTCCTGGAAATCTATTTGTGCCCCTGTCGTTTTAAGGAAGTCCATGCCTAAAATGACTGGAGCCTGCAAATTTGTAGCAACGAAAAAATTGTCTTTTGGACCTTGTTTTTAACTTGAACATTTAATGTGGCCTTTTCCTATACAAGCGCAATTTTTGCCCTGTGCGGCAATAACATTTGCCGCACAGGGTGCATAAATTTTCTGCACTATACAATAGACATCTATTTTAATTTTTGCGAAAAAATTTCTCAAAAAACAAGTTTGCTTGCGCTTTTGTATCTAACACGGCCCCTGCTGGCACATTATTTAACAAAATTTGAATAACCAACAAGGCCTACGTTTTTATGACCACTGCATTTAATCGTAATTTAAAGGGATTTCTATACAAGAGGTGTAATTGCACCTTCATTCTATCGGCACCCCAGATTAGTTCCACTGCGGTTTCTCCGCCCTCTGTTTTTTTTATCCTGCGGCTTACTTTGGCGATTGCAAAAACTTTCCCCCAATCGTTAAATCTTCGCGTGTTTTCCGCTACCCGCCTACGAAACTGTCCGTTCGATATCTGGCCGTAATCCTTCTGTACGCATACTTTCGGCCACTCTACTACTCGTATATTCAAATTTGACCGTCAGCTCAAAAAACTGTTCTAAAGTGCTGAGGTTTCTTTGTTCAATGAAATCTTGGATCTGTGGTAATAGTCGAGACAAAATAATCTGAATAATTTCGCTATCGGTCTGTTTCCCATACAGTAAATTAATAATTTGAAGTCCTCGAACTTCCTTTGATACTTTCTGAATAATTCAGCTTCTAACTTCGCCGTCTTTGACTACGAGGAATGCTTTTACAAAGGCGATTTTAAATATTTCAAATGCGTACTTCTCACTGCCTGTTTCTCCTAATAAAAACTTACCGATCCCTTTTTACCAGCTTAAACCTTGCCTCGTAGAACGCTGGTAGCTATCGTTATTCTTTGAACTTCTGGGATCGGGTACAGTAAAAAGGGTTGCCCAGCTGTTCCAAAAAATTCGTGGCCGATTTTCTACTATCAAATATTACTGCGGCTTTCATGGAGGCTCGCATTGTACCCACTAAGAAGCCAAACCCTTCCATAGGGTTTATTAGAACCGGTGGGGTCTGCAAAGCTTGTAGGGTTTGGAGAAGGTGGGCTGGTCCCGGACCATTGGCTCGAAGATTTTCGGACTGCAGCGTAACGTCTATTATTCTTCGCAAGCATACACTGCTATTACGTGAAAGTTTGGGTAGCAACGTATCACTCAACCTCGAAGATAAATAAAACAGGGAAAGAGTGTAAAAGACCGTTTTATTAAACTCAGGGTATTTACAGACGGCACGGACTTGCGTGCTCACAATTTTACCAGCCATTTGTGGTGAGGAACTTAAAGATAATGCTAACAATTAAACTGAAAGATAATCTAGTAGTTCAAAAAAACATAATTTAAACCAACAGTTTGACTCAGGAACCTACACCAGCATGATATTAATTTTGGCGGCAAGAATTCCGCCGAAGGATACGAAATTCAAAATTTAAACAGCTGATAGAAGAAACAACGTGCACACTCAAAAGTGAAAACACGCTCTGGCTAACCTTTTCGTTACTTCAGTTTAAATACACCCTCGTTCACCTATCTGATTTAAATCCTGGCGGGGAAACGTGAGGGAAGCCAGAAAGGACAGAAAAGGCTAACAAATTAAAATAACTGTTAGTAAAAATAATATACCTCACAGACTTTAGCTCTTATAATATTAAATTCAACATTGCATGATAATACCCCAATCCAGAAACCTCATCGTATTGTAGACCAGAAACAAAAAGAATTATTTTTAAATTATTGAATCATGCTTTTTGAGAATTAATTGATTTTGAGAATTTTTGAGCATTTGAGAATTAAAAAATATTATCACTTATAATGCTTTCCATTTGTACCAGTATGTTGGCTAGTGATGGGTTTGGGTTTAGGTTCAGATATTGGATGTGACATGGTCCTTACTGACTATAATGTCTTCTGAAATGCAGCACTTAAATATGTTGATCAAAAAAAACCACCTTCAGGCACTAATCGTAGTAAAAGAGCAGACAATTTGACCTCACCTTCCTCTTACATAAACCCTGTTTTGCTTTGCCTAATTAAGTAATCCAGACCATGCGATACTTATCATTCATTTCATTTGATGTATAAATTGCATACCAATTTCTTCAACTGTAATAATACGTAAGCAAGTTTTACTATAATCTTTTTTCAAATAAGTCTAAGCAAAACAGTTTAAAAGGATAAACTAAATGAAACAAAATATATAGTGAAACCTCTTGCGGGTGATCACCTCTGAACAATGGACCAATATTTCTGAGATTATGGTCGCCTTTCTACTATGATAATTTCCATAGAACCCCCAAATTGTCTGAAACCATGAGTGATCACTTTAGAGAAGATTCGCAGTATTTTTCGATAGTATTGAAAAAAACTCTAAACCCAAAAGTGAGCAAGAATGTAGCAAGATATTTGCTCACTTTTGCTTTTAGTGGACCTTTTTATATTGATACTATTCCTTACAGATCCATACGTTAAAATTGCTCTGATGATGAATGGAAAAAGAATCAAGAAGAAAAAGACCAGCATCAAGAAATGCACATTGAATCCATACTACAATGAGTCGTTTACATTTGAAGTTCCTTTCGAACAAATTCAAGTAAGTAATGATTTTTGTTAACAAATAGTTTATTTTCGAGATAGTAAGGAAAACAATACGAAAAGCTATTGATTTTATGGATACCTTTTTAAGAAAGATATCTAAATTAATAATTTTATTTACAAGAAATTTTGGAGACTTTCAAAGTTATCGCTTTTAAAAAACGTTTTCCCCCCTTACTATTTTTTTCATTTCAGGTTCAACAATCTAGTACTACATGTAAAAATATCATGCTTATCAGCAGTGTTAGTCACACTCTTAATGGATAAAAGTAAATGTGATGACAAGTGGTAATGGTTTTACATGGCTTCTCCTTAGTTTCCGTAATCATACTTGTTATGAAAAGAATGATATTTATTCTAGCATCCTTTAACACTGCATATTATATTGTGTAGTTCAGCTACTTGTGAATTCCTTCGTCACTTTGCCATCGCTTTTGACGATTATGTTAAAAACGAGAGAATCTCTTACTTAAGCCTACTCCTGAAAATGTTTAAGCCAAAAATTTTATCCTAGATTTCACGAGAATAAAAGAAGGTACTATAATATTCAGTAAACTTTAAATTATTATAATTAGTAGCACAGTATGTAATGTAATCACAGCCCGAATGATGACAACTTAAAGACTAAATATAAATAAAATGTCCTTTAAATTTGAAATAAATATTCGTCTAAAGCAATTTATTCCTTATTTGTTCAAAATTGTAAATTCATATTATGAAAGTCTTCGTCTCAAAACTTACGTAAGAAAAGAAATTAAGTATCCATAAGTTTCTAAGAATTTTAATAACCTGTACTTATTCTTATCATTTGTAAGCACACCAGAATTACTTTTAATAAATAAATGTTTGGTAACATTTTCATGAGCGGAGTATTGTCTATTGTCAAAGAGCAAATTCCGATGTGAAAAACTTCTGTCAACCTCTATGTATGTATTTATGTGTTTAAATGAATACGAAAAGCATTTGTGGGCTATTAACACCTATGGACGTTACTGGAGCACACTTGAAGACAGATTCATTTATACGTATTGGGTACATGCAAATGTTCTCCCGGTTTTAGGTCTGCATATGGAAATGCAAACAAGACTAACTGTAACTTTTCTAGGACTTTGAATAATCATAATCATGATCAATGACCTCTTGCCATGTTTCTGGTATGTGAATCCCACGCCGATAAAACTTCTCAAGTCTGAAGCTGAAGGTAAGGTAATTTTCGTAACCTTATCATGAAAAGTTTTCCAGTAAAGGAGCTAGAAAAAGGTGGAAGTCTGCGGGACCAAGACATGGGAATTTCGTGGATGGGCTAAAACTCTTAATTGAAGTCTAGTAATTTCTGACGTGTCATCACAGCAGTATGTGGCTTAGCTTTCTCATGTTGATAATAAACCATTAGAGACTGACAAGGCTTAGGCGCTTTGACCACAATGAATTTTGCACTCCGTTCAGCTGTTGGAAGTAAAAGGTTGCATTAATATTTAGGTTAGGTAATGATTAGGTTCCGGTATCTCCGAATAAATTATTCCTTTCATACCCCACCACAAGCTTAAGAGCACGTTCTTGTTTGGACGTTGATGGGAAGCAGTTCAAAACACGACACACAGTCCTGTGACGCTTCATGTTCCGATACATAACACTTCTCACCTCTTATAATAATCCGTGTCCAAAAGTGATCATTTTTATCCTGTGAAATCAATGAAACTCACGTCATGACTCGTCCCTCTCGATGGGTTTAACTCAGCTGATATAGAACCCAGCGACTGAACTTTGTGGTAAAGCTAAGTGTCACAAGACTTCTTTTCCCTGCTGTTCTGTTTACATGGAAGGTTTTCGCTAATCCCTCTACAGTTGGATTCGGACTGACTGTTACGGCTCAGACCAAATCCTCTTCAGAAAATGCTAGGATGTTCAAAACGTGGTTGACCTTGACAGCTTCCGTAGCCATTCCTGAATTTTCGAAACCAGCAACGACGTGTTCTTTCGTCAGTTATATCCTCACCATACACTTGAGTAACGTTGCGGTAGGCAAAGCAGCAGTACAGCCCTTATCGAACTCAAAAAGTAATCAGTGTCTGATGTGTTCCTTATTGGTCTCCATTTGACTAGCACACCACTCTATCCATCTACGAGCCTGTAGTCCCCACTTACTGTCTGCTGCTGGTGCAGTGTTCTCCCGATAATATGACAACCGATTCCAATGGAACACCATCTATAAGGTCTGGCTAAAATATTTTTAGACTGACTGAATATTAACTGTCTGAAAAGGCGCTATCTGTTTGCAACAAATGGAACTGTGTAGAGTTCTACTGCTAATTTGATTATTATAGTCTAATAATCGCTTTCGGATGAGTTGAGTTGTTAAGGAAAAATTATAGTTTTGTGTTTGAATGTTATTTATGTTTATAAAAGAACCGCATTTGGAACGGAGGTGTGCGATAAAGTTTTATTTTAAAAGCTGCAAAACTGAACGCTTACGGCGAAGAGTATTTGTCGCGGTCTATCGTGTTTTAGTGGTTTGGTAGATTTCCAGATGGCACAGATGACGAAAGAACTAGACGTCGTCGCACAAACCGAACTGCCCCGAACACCGAAGCTGTCCGTGATGCGTTAAATCAAGATCGTTGATTAACGATTAGAATGCTTGCAGAACATTTAAACATCGATAAAGAAACTGTACGTATAATAATTAGTGAGGATTTAAAATAAAGGAAATTGTGTGCACGTTTTGTTCCGCATTCACTCACAACAGAACAAAAAGATGATCGGGTGGCGGCTTGTCAGGATCTTCTTGATATGCGAAATCGCGATTCAGACTTTTTCAAAAAAAATCATCTCAAATGATGAATCGTGGCGCTTTGTCTACGATCCAAGAACGAAAAAACAGAGTGCAGAGTAGGTTGGCCAAAGAAAGTTCGCTTCGAAAAATCCAACGTGAAAGCAATGTTAGTGGGTTTCTCCACCCCCCTCCTTTGAAGGACTGATTCACGAAGAATTTGTTCCTGAAGGAAAAACAGTGAATACGGTGTTATGCATGGGAGTATTAGATCGGCTACCGAAACGCATGGCACGTGTGCATCCGGCGTTTCATACAAATAAAAGCTGGTTCTTGCTGCATGATAACGCGCCGTCCCACAATGCAGCTGTTATTCGTGCGTTTTGGGAACAAAAAAAAAAAAAATTAACTCTGCTACGCAACCCACCCTCTTTTACCGGACTTATCACCATCAGATTAATTTTTGTTTCCAAAATTGAAATTAAAGCTAAAAGAGCAAAGAGCCATTCCAGCACGCTATGAAACGGCTTGCGGATCGCGCAGACCGGTGTTTAACTTCACAAGGGTTATATGTAAATTAATTGGTAAACAAAAGATTTTATTTTTCTATTTTTCTTATTTGTAAAACTTTATAGCCAGACTGTATTACGTCAGAACACCTTCCCCAGAAACCTATCACAAAGGGGGTAGAACTTTTACACGTACCCAATAATTAATCAGTCAAAATGTTAGAATATTTTTCAGTGTCAAGAAGTCACCATTCTCCCATTTTGGGAACGTATTTTGATTCTGCAAGAATAAATTTTTCAACACATAATCTGGACAGGTTTTGGTACCTCAATTGATTCTTAGATTAAATTTAATTAATTCTTAGATTACGATATATTTAAATCGAATTTTAATATTTAGATTATCAAATTTTTACATGGAAAAGCAAATTTTAACTTCGCCAAAGATGTCGCTAAATTTAAATATATATATATATATACACACACACCAAAAAAAAAAATTTCTTTGTGAAAATTATGTCTTTCTCAACTCTATCTGAAATACACGAACAGCATTTGAAAACAGATATTATTGCTCTAAATTTTGTAAAATATTATAGAAGCAAGCGAACATTAATTTTCTCAGCTCCAGCAATAATTTGCAATATTATAAAGGTGGTGTGGTGTGGTGTATTTAATTATGGCAAAGCACACTAGGGCTATCTGCCTAAGGGGAGGGATGCCTTCGTGGAGGACTTTCTAAGGGAAACTGGCTCGTATACGCGTTACACATGGGGAAAACCACGAAAACGCCCATGCAGCCAGCCCGTTCGCGGGTTTCGAACCTCGGACCGAACTACCAGTGTTCAGCGACTTTACCGCTCGGCCGCTGGTGGGCCCAATATTATAAAGGAATTATACACTGTGATCACATGTTTAAGACTACACCAAATACTCATAAAATTACCATAAGAAAAACATTAATCCTCTCAGCGTTACTTTTTTTTTTTTTTTTTTTTTTTTTTCTTCTGAAATTTAAAAGTTTTCCCAAATGCCATGAATAAATAGTGCTTTCTTACTTATTTAAAAATTATTTTTTGTACCTTGACTCCTTTTCTTTCAGTATACATCCAACCCGAAATCAGATGCATTAAAATCTGGCAAAAATTTTCATGCGTAATGAATTAGAAAATGATCTAATTCATTACGCATGAAACTCGTATATAAATGTACGAAGTTCCTTTTTATTCTCTGAAATACGAAATTGCCTTTTTTCTATATACCTTTCCTTCGCACCTAAGCTTGATTTTTTCCTCCATCGGAGCAGAAAGACTTAGCGTGTGCAAAACAAGACATCTGTCTACTTTGTCTGTCTTACCACGCCTATCTATATTAGCTGCTTACTCAATTGACAGAAGACAGTTTCTCATCTTTTACATGTCACATTATTTCATTAATATAAGTTTCTTCAAAGTGTAGATTCGGTAAAATATACTTGTATAGTGCCTTTCTCCAAAACATTCTATTTGTTTATATAGCTTTCTGAATGGATACCTGATAACATTAGATTACCACAACTCGCTTTGTAAAATTATAACTTGTTGAAAATGACATCTGAGATACCCCTAACCTTTTCTTTGATGTTTCAACACTTTGTATATGTTTGTCTCGTTCAACATGCTGTATGACGGTAAATCTCTTTCAGCTCCAAATTTCCCTTAACTTTGCATTAACAAAATCATTCCATTTGTGAAAATACCTTGCGGAAAGTACTTTACTAGTTTTTGTAAGAGCCAATATTTGTACTTCGGCAACTTTTAAAATAGCCAACGAATTGCTTTTTAAACTGAAAGTGAAGGTGACTATGACAAAAAATGCACCCTAAAAATACAGTCAGAAAACAAGCTACGAAACCTCTCCTTGCTAGGCAGTACGTGAAAAGTTTAAAATATCAAAAACTGCAGGCTACTGTCTTTTATATCTTAATTCTGTTGTTCAGTTCCGTCCCTCCATGTCTGCCTCGCACTGAAGGCAACGATGATTCTCTTGCCCATTACTGTCCCCCTGGGCTGTATGCACTGAGTATATTACTGTTGCAGTAACACTCTGAGGAAACAAAAACACGGGCCTGGTGTTCCAGAACCTGAGGAAAGATCGTTTATACGGTCGGACTAAGGGGATTGGAATAGTTCCTAGAGCCGATGGTACTAGTAGCTCGGTTGGTCCGAGTTTGGTGGGCGCCCACCAGCGGCCGAGCGGTAAAGTCGCTGAACACTGGTAGTTCGGTCCGAGGTTCGAATCCCGCGAACGGGCTGGCTGCATGGGCGTTTTTCGTAGTTTTCCCCATGTGTAACGCGTATACGAGTCAGTTTCCCTTAGAAAGTCCTCCACGAAGGCATCCCTCCCCTTAGGCAGATAGCCCTAGTGTGCTTTGCCACAATTAAATAAACCAAAACAAACCGAGTTTGGTGGGTATAGCTCGGCTGGTCCGATACGATTGGTAATATCCTAGGTGACGAGCAACCCTCGTAGTGCTCACGAGGACACTTTGACGACGAGTCAAATCTACACGTCATTTGCAGTTGTTTCCGAGGTCAGACCAGCGCCTGGTGTCCCGGTTCAGCCTTCGGAGTTTAAGAGGGTTCTTATATAAAAAGCCTGCGCCATGGGACTAAGGCCCCCATGGCGTAGCAAGCAAGCACTTAAATCTTTTTAAGATTTCTTTTACGGACTATGTCAGGCCCTCCCGCCTAATGTGGAGGATGATCGCGGGTTGCCTCTTTATTTGCGGGAAGGCTAATATAAAATGGCTTGCCCATTATTAGAATAATGCTGAACAATGCATAGTAGCAAAAGGTGATAAGCATATTCATAAAGGTTTCCAGGTCGGTTAGTACTGGAAAATCTGAAATCACAAACTTTATGGAATTTTATTTTTTAATTAAAAAATAATGATCAGACAGTGCTTAGGAAATATATACATACTTTGTACTAGACACCTCAGTAGTTCCATACATTTTTTTGCATTTTGACACTTTAAAGAAACTTAACTGTTCAGAACAGCCTACTTTACAGCTAATATCATTGATAACGCTAATGATTGATTAAAATGTATTTTGTATGTTACAAGCATTACTTGTATTTGCACATGCATATTTATATAAAATTCCATACAGAAAATAATTGTCTCTAAGCAAATCATTAAAAAAAATTTTTAAATTAGCATCAACATCCGGGTCATAGCAATAACAGTAAAGCTTTAGTGTACAATAACGTATAGGAGAATTTTTTTTTTCCACTCGATACGAGTGCAGCACAGCATATTACATTATATAACAAGAATTTTTAGCAATTTACTCTAAAGCACAGGTTCTCAATTGCGAGGGTGGGATTTCATAATGTCAGGAAAGGAAAATGGTCATCCTTTATTTAGCTGTTCACTATATTTCGTTCATGAATATATATTAAAAAAATATTCATATTCAAGTTTTGGTATTTATCCAATTTTCTCTACTTTTTTTTTTGGTTTAATTAATAAAACACGTTAAAAATTATCTAAGTCTAAATAAATGTACATGTATTTTTCAAGATCTTGAAAGAAGGGGGTGGGAATGAAATGAAAAAGGAATGAAAGAGGTGCATAGCGCAAAAAAGAATTGAGAAACCCTGATCTAGACGCTGATGTTGAAGAATGTTGGAGAGATTATTCTTCTTCAATCTCAGTTTGAACAGCCAGGGTGAAGGAAGTTGGCTATGCCTTGAAATACAGTATTTTATTGGGAAACTTAATAAATAACTTAATTTTTTTTCTTTCTAGAAAGTTCAGCTTGTTGTTACTGTTGTGGACTACGATCGCATTGGAACTTCAGAACCAATTGGCAAAGTCGTAATGGGCTGTAATGCGACAGGAACTGAACTTCGCCACTGGATGGATATGCTAGCCTCTCCAAGAAGACCTATTGCTCAGTGGCACTCGCTAAAAGATCCGGCAGATGCCACAGAATACTGAAGATGAGGTAGGAGAAGTAAAATTCCTAATATACGAGAGGGGGACCCAAAAGTTTCCATAATAAGAATACCCCACAGAAAGTGGATGAAATCCAGGTATCTACCGATACAGATAAATGTACTCTGAACTAGTTGGCACACTTCATTATGTTTTGAATATTGTGTCATTTTTTAGGTGTTTTCTGAGCTACCTACTTACAAAGAGAATCCCACATTTCCAAGGATTATTATTCAGGAAAAATGTTTATTTGGTTTTAACATATTTTTCACTGTATTCTGTGATGGATAGCTTATTTTCCCACATGTCGCTATAACTGAGGCCTTTGCCTAATCATGGATCATGCTTAATCAAGCTTACCGTCGAAGTCTTGTCACTCTAAAATCTATACGTGTCGAGATATTTCTCGAGAATTTGAAACGTGACAATTAACTTTGATCTAACTGACACACGAGTTATGTTTGTCACGTTGCGGTGCTGCATCTCAAGTGATTCAGCAGTAAAGATTTCATAAAGTGTGTGTTCTTGATAAAACTTGAGAGCCCTTTCTGAGGCAACAGAATGTCATTCATGACCAAGATTTGTGTCTCACGGTTTGGAGTTGCAAGAACATCCAAACGACAGTAACACGATGTTTGAATGTTAAGGGCATCACATATTCAAAATGGATATTGAGAAAGTTGTCTCTCACTTAGATACATATCTCAGTCAACTTGGCAACTACACAAAAAATTATCCTGAGAAATATCCATCATAGAATACTTTGTTATGCCCAAATAAATTTTGCTTCCGAAGCAACAATTGTGCCTATCTATGTTGGAATCTTTTTTTTTTTTAAAGGAAGGGACATCATATTTTAAATTATTAATTAATTTTAAAATTATTAAAGTAAGACTCAGCCTTGAGTTTGTCACAATGCTACACAACTAAACACAAATTTCTTCAAAGGTGAATTGTTTTTAAAAAGTAAAACGTCAAATAAAGACCATACACCTTTCTCAATCAGTATGATGAAATTATTTGAAAAGTCTGTCAAGCTCCCCTTAATGATCATTGTCAGAACGGTACCTTATTTAAGCCTCTGTAACAATGCACTCACAAACACAGATTTGAATAATCCAACATGTTGGAATAATATCAAAGTGAGGAATGAGTGCCATCTTTGCTATACATTCGATATGGTAAGATTCGACGTCTTTGGATTAAGGAATCTTTCTCTATTCGATTCTTTTATTCTGAGGATAAAGGAATATTTTTTTCCCGGAAGTTCAAAGAAAATCACAGGCAGATGAACATGTTTAAGAAATAATAGTGGGTGAAGCATTACATTCAGTCACATGGGTAATAATTTAACACTTTCATATCCAAAGTATTTTTTTTTAAACAACTCCCAAAACTTTTTGGTCCCATCTCGTAGAAATGTAGATAGAATATTTCATTTCAAACCCACATTATTAAACAATTTAGTTTGCCTTAATTCTTCTAAAATGATAGATTTCTGAAACTAAGCATTAGCAAAAGTTTTCTATTTAAAAATACATACCATCAACCACATAAAATAAAACCATGAGAATAAAATTTAATATCCTACCAAGGTGTGTTTTTAAATGTCCAGATGCAGCACAACAGCATGTTTATTTAAATTTAGCATAACAGATGTGTCATACCTAATCAGCTAATAACAGAAAACAAAAAATTTGAAATAATTTATTTCTTAAAAACTAAAATACTTCAAAAAATTGGAAAAGGCTTGGGAACAAAATTTGCACAAGCTCAGAATATGCGAAATATTTCAACAATATGTGAAATAATTTTGAGGAGCATATATTCCGAGGATATGTAATCCCCTTAATGATAGATATGGAGAAAGACAAAAGAACACAAATTATCTAGGTCTTTTTTTTATAGGACAAGTATAAAATTTAGTTTGAATTATTTTTAATTTATTTCAGTGGACTGAAATTTGATCATCAATTTATACATGTACCTGTTATCTAAAGAAAATCGCCAAATACACAGTTTACAAACACAAATGGAGAATCAACTCTCTACTGTAAACCTTTTGTGATTTTCAACTATTCTAAAAACATTTTTCCACAATAAAAAAAAGATCTTTCAGTTTCTCCCCCATTAAAATAATACATACATTATAAAGTGTAAATGAAAATTCTAATATGTATTATGCTGTTAACTTTATTATTTAATATCAATAAAAACTATTTCCTTACAGTAAAATAAAAAGAAAAATAACATTCTCTGTATTACAGCTTGCATTAAAAAAAAATCATTTCATTATTCTGTATAAAAAATTTCTCTGGCGTTTTGTTTTACAGAAAACAAAAATATATTTCCTTAATTGCGAAGTTTTTGATGAAATAACATACAATACAGGGAAAAAATCCTCATATCAATCACAGAAAATACATATTTGGCCTACAAAAAAACAGAACATCCCAATTATTCAGTTTCTTAAACAACCAAATAGGCTGTAGTTCAAGTTAGTCTGATTTTTTGGAGGTCTTCTGCACTACAGAGAAGAAGAAAAAAAAAAAAAAAAAAAAAAAAAAACAGGATTAACAAAGCTACTAAATTAATTTAAGATATAAGTCTTTTACACTTTAAGTCAATAAAAATATTCAAAAAAAGATACAAAAGGTTCTCGACTTTCACACAATTTTAGAAATTCAATTTTTAAAGGTTTTTATAGATATTACAAAAATTTCTCGCCATGCAATCACTCCCATGGATTGTGGTAGCTCACGCTTACTTCCACATTAACTCCTACAGAAGCAGACTTCTCAAAATTGTAACACTAGGTTCTTGAGCGACCCTGGCAGGGCCAAATGTCAAATACATATAACAAATTAAACAGGTTTAGTCTTGCAATGATTCACTTGTCCTAACATTGTGTGGTTTGCCAATTTATTTATGATTAAATATTTTACCCCTATAAATGCATAATTATGAATTAAAAACTGCACTGTTAATATAAACAAAAACGATTCATTAATTCCATATGACTGAGACAAACTAATTAGACATTCTGAAAGAGAGTTTTGAAAAACAAGAATTAAGTACAAGAATGTGTTTAAAATTTTGGAAAGTGATGGATGAAATGGAAAGATCTTTGCCTTAATGGATGAAAACAATGCCCCCTGAGTTTTTCAATTATTCAAACTAAGGCTGTTAGCCTGCATAAAGATTAGATGACTAGACTAAAAGAAGGTTCTAACACAGTGTTTCAAACAAATAATAACTGGTTTGATGAACGTAAAATGAGGTATTCTTTACATAATATTAAATTGGAGTATTGGCTAATCCAGATAAAGATGCTGCAAAGGAATTTATTTTCTCAACGGATTCCTCCAGATGGAGAATATTCTCTTAGACATGCTCAATGAATACAAGACAGGTTTACTTTGGAAAATAAATGCTGAATTGTACATTCTTATCGAAGGAAAAATCAGTTACTTGCTCTTGGACATAAACCTTCTAACTCTGCCGTCTGATTCTGCTTCTTGGTGAAAACTTAGCTGGTAATTTTAAGTGGAAGGCAATGTTAGTTTATCAAGCAGAAAGTCTCAGAAAATTGGAAGAAAAAAGGCTAAAGAGTTGCTTCTGGTCATTTGAAAATCAACTAACCTGGGTCACTGCATTAATATTTAAAATTTATTTAATATAATAATATATTTAATATTTGTTTTGTGCTAGCAGTTAAGCAACAATGTAAAGATAATGAATTACAATTTAAAGCATTATTGATCTCTAGGACACCCAAAGTCTCTGCAAAATTAATACCTGGAAATCAATGTTGTGTTTCTTCCTCAAAGTACTATCTGCTACATGCTGCCCAAGGATTAAACAGTGATAGCTACATTTAAATAATATTATGTGAGGACAATAATGAATCAGCCCATCAAGGCAACTGGCAGGAAAGGTGGACCTACATTAAGAGACTTCTAGAAAACTATAATATTTAGAATTCAATAAACAATGATGGAGATTCATGAGCTGAAATAAAACAGTCAACAATGAAAGGTTCCTGGGAACAATTATGCCAATAAATGATGAATGATTTTATAAATTCTGAAGAAACTCCAGAAACTATCACAAATGAAATAGTTTTAGCCTAGTGAATAGACTAAACTTAGACATCAACAGTGAAGATGTTAATGAATTGATTGAATCTCAGTCAGTACCTCTGTCAAATGAGTCCTTAATTGAGCAACAATAGTTAAATGAAATGTACAATAAAAGTGAGGAAGATGCTGATAAAATCATTAACACTTTGACAATGAAAGATATGAATGAAGCCTGCATACACATCGTCAAATTTTTTACTATCATGGAAGAATGTAGTCTTTTCTCAAGTACATAATGCAATTAAGAAAGACACAAAATGTTATCCAAATTCTTTATCAAGAAAAGGGGGGGGAAAAGTGACATTCAACTAACTCGTAAATTATATAAAAGGAACACCTGAAAGCACTGAAACATGCCTCATTAATTTTATTTTGTACATTGATAAATAAATATCTTTAAATATAATTTTTTAATTATTATTATTTTTTACATCCTTCTACTTTTGTACCAACATTCGCACACATTTTCGGAACCAATTATATATGAAAGTTCAAGAGCTGCCATCATAGTGCCTGAATTTACTGCGGACTAAAACTTTTAAGATTTACAAAACATCAAAATATTCAGAGATAGAAGACTAAGATAATTTAATTCACACCAATCTTTTTTTTGGTCCTAACCAGTTTACTATACATTTAATGTTATTCTATATTGTTCTAGTGAACATACAAGAGTATGAAAATCAGATATAACAAACTATGAATATCTTTCAAATGAGAGCTCTTTTCTTTCTTTTTATTTTTCTATCTTTTCCGGAATTCCTACAAGTTTAAAAAAAAAAAAAAAAAAACTATGAATCATAAAAGTACCATGATCTACATTCCATCCAATTTCCTCATTCATTTGTTATGAAAAACACCTTTATATTACCTCTTTTATCTTTACCCTCACTTACCAAAATAAGGCTATGTCTGACACCCAACTCTAGAAGAATGAGGATACAGTGAGCTTATCTTAGGATACCAGATGGTTACACAACCAATAAGCCAAACAAGGTGAGCAGATTCTCCAATCCCATTAAAATTCTTTGTCTCAACTCCAAGACTATGCAAGGCTGGAATATGATGGAAATACTGAAGCTTTTGCTATTCACGAAAAGAGGAAGTAACGAATCTTATCAGCATGCAGTTTTGCAGTTGATTCTTCTTCTAAGGAATGAAAAGATTTTATTTTATCAGCTTGTTCTTGTTTGAGCATAAATGCTCTCCAAGTTCTATCCTTCGAATAGAGGTTTTGCAATCTTAAGGTTTTCTGCAAGACATAAAATATTCATGTAGATTGTGAAATCTGTGTTGTAACCATTCATATCTTGGGGAAATTAATGATTTCTCAATGGACATTGAATAAGACACATAGGCAACGAAATTATCTTTCTGTTTCTTACTTTCCAGAAGGTCAAAACTCTCACATGTTCTTTAATCAAATTATCTGCACTTTGTTTCCATCAAAAATTCATCTGCATGGCAAGCTGTACTCTGCACTGAAGATAAAGTGAACATTATTCGAAAAATAGAAAATGGATGCAGACAAATCGATCCCTCTCAGAAATTCAGAAATACAATTAAACCAAATCTACAGTTAATAACACACACACACACGCACACACACGCACGCACACACACACGCACACACACACACACACAAAAAAAAAAAAAACGGAACTGTTATTTCTGCTTATTAAAAAAATTTAGATTCATAGAAAAAGTTGAGCAAGGTAGACCATAAGGAGCTTGAAGAAGCATTGCAGAAAAGGTTCACCACTCAAAGAAGCCACAATCTGCCAATATCTCAACAAATGACAATGAATTTTTGTAACTTTGGACAAACTGGCAAACAAATGAACAATAAATTAATATTATGAATAACCATTATTGTAATTAAGTCTTAGATTATTTTAAAATCAGATTTATTATTGACTTTTTTCTTTATGCTAAATTTTACATGTTTTTGTGAGATAATCCATTTTTCTTATTGGTTTGGATAACTGAGCCAAATTTCTGATCACTAGAAGTTTGTTACAGCATGGTTCAACCATACATTTTATATTCTTCAATTATTAATTTTTAATACTTCTCTAATTTGATCAATCAGCAATGAGTCATGCAAACAAGTTATTCTACAAATCTGTCCAACAATCAGATTTAGAATAGAGTCTTTAAAAGATCAAGTTCTGATCAATGGTTAAAAAAAAAAAAGTGAAAATGATATTTCTGAGAATCTACACATTTCTGTAAGTGAAAGGGCATACATAATATTATACAAGGAAAAGTCGCAGAAACATTCAACATATCAAATCAAAATGACACTAAATTGCTTGGATGTTAATACATCACAAGAAATAACCTATAAAGACCAGCATATTTTACTCATATTTTTTAGTAAAATACTTACTTTTATAACAGATATTTTTATGTCAAATTCAGTTTTCCTTAGCTGAATGAATGGTATATTTATTTTACATGCAGGATCCTTACGTGGCCAAAGCTGCAGATTACTTGACACCTCGTTCAAATAAGGATGAGTATCATATGTATTCCATGAATGTCGTAATTTTTTTATATATATGGGTGTGTGTGTTTACATATGTAATTTAAAACTTTCAAATGCTGTATGCTTGAGATTATGCAAGGGATTGAAAGATTTATCTAAAAGCCTACAACTTAAAAAGCAAAACTATTTTTTACAACAGTAAAAGTTATAATATTTAATATTTATACACAAATATGACTAACAAAGTATTTTGTATAAAATGACTCAGTCTTCATTCAAATGTTATTTTAAAAAATTAAATGAAATAAAATGAACACAAATACTTTCAAATATTCTTAAAAAATATCATGATCATATGAAAGTATGTAATACTCCCCTCCAAATGCATATTTAAATGTACTACAAAAAATTGCCACAAAAGTAAGTTTCTAGTAAAATAATTCAGTGTATAGAATCTCGGAACTATTACAGTAGGTTCTTTTTCCCCCCTTCCCCATTTTAGTATATACACAAACTTTTAATTATACCATGATTCAAAAATGCATTATTATTATGAATGAAACAAAAATATTTAACAGTCTGTGATACATGTTTTCATATTCTTTTTCTATATTACTGCCATTTATTAATATTATTCAAAAAGTAATATAATCGGTAACAGAATGGTCCAGAATCTATAAAATGTAAATAAAACATTTGATTTCTTTAAATTAAATTTTTTTACCAGCAACTTTGAAAATGCTTTGTAAGTGGCTTGAAATCATAGCTTTGTTGTAAAGCAAATACAGATACTCAATTTACTTTTAAAACATTTCCCAGGAAATCTTTTTGAACTGTAAAGGGAATAAAAGACATCAAATGACTGTCGAATGTAGAAATAAACACTGGATTTGTTTCTTTATTTACAAAACATAACCTTCCAAATTACACACATATATTGTAATCAAATAATATAAAATGTATCTTGATGCCCTTTCTGGAGCAAAGTGAATTGTGTTTCCTTATTCCCTACATGATTTATTGTGTATACAAAAAGTATTTAAAATACTTCTACTCAGCTTACTGTTAAAAAAATTCCAACCACCAATGTTTGCATCTAGAAGAGCTAAAATTTTGTGTTTGCAGGTTGGTTCAACCTGCTGTACTTTGTCATATAAAAGCAGAAATTTCAATGCAGAAACGGGTTCCACAAAAGTTCAGTAATATTGATGTGAATATAGATGTTAAATATACTTATGTTCCTGAATCATCACTTTATTTGATCTAATAATCTTATGATTATTCTATAAATGCAGTTGTATTCAGTGGAAACTACTTTCTTTATTGTCATTTAATAGGATAAAGGACTTTTTACAAGCATTTTCTGTTAAAAAGGATACTACTGCTCTTTAAAGCCATGATGAAAATACACAGCTAATTAACATATATATTGTAATCACATAATATAAAATAATATAAAAAGATTATTTCTACGAAAGTCATCTTTCATTCTCCTTCCCCCAACCTTCACAATTTTTAACCAAATATGGTTAAAATAATTTCCTATACAATATCTTTTTAGAAAAAAAGACATTCCAAATTTCACATTTTTCTATTAGAATAACAAATGACCAAAATAAATAAATAAATAAAAGAGAAAATTTAAATTCATTCAGAAAAGCTTTAAACGTGAGTGCAATCTATTAACAACCATCTTCAATGAAAAATAAAAGAATTGACTTAACCGAATTAAAATCAGAATACTTCAGTGAGATCATAAAAATCTGCAAAAGGTGAAAACATACTCAATTAAAAAAACTTTCCTATTATGGCCTGAATGACAGGTATATAGGGGTATTCATGAGTTAGAAGTTAACAAATAAATTCAGATTCTTTCAAAGTTGCATATAATTTAATAAAAATTGTCAATTGTTATTTCTACGAAAGTCGTCTTTCATTCTCCTTCCCCCAACCTTCACAATTTTTAACCAAATATGGTTAAAATAATTTCCTATACAATATCTTTTTAGAAAAAAAGACATTCCAAATTTCACATTTTTCTATTAGAATAACAAATGACCAAAATAAATAAATAAATAAAAGAGAAAATTTAAATTCGTTCATGCTTAAAAGGAGAGGGGAGCTGGCATCATCACATGGCTAATGTTCATTCAAAACATGCAAGTATTCAAAATAACGTAAAATTAAACCCAAGATTGGCAGTGGCTTCACATGAAAGCTCTGCACGTCTGGAAAATCTGAAGGATTTTCTTAATAAAATGCAAAAGAGTAATTTTGTTCCTTTAAATACATCTGTCAAATTTGACAAAAATGTACCCAGCTTTTCCATAAAACAATAAATCTAATTGTATATAGACCAGCATGTAATGATATGTAAGCTAAAACATTCTATTTAAGCATATTATGCTGAAAGCATGATTTTATGAAACCATGATTTCTTGTTTCATAAACGAGTACTTTATATTAGTAAGATTGCAAGAACCACATATTCAGTATATATAGAAAGGTTTTCATAACCTTGTTAATATTTCATATGACAAAATAAAAGCAACTACTACTTCATATTAATCAAAACCCTTCCTTCAAATAACTGAGGATCCAGTTACGAATCCATACAATACCAGTTTTACAAAATCTAATAGCATTATTGCTTACAGCATATAAATGTTTGGCAATTACATAAATATTGCCTTTACAATATGTATTTGCTACAAAGTAGAGAAGGATGCATAATTTTCTGTATTAAATGCAAGCTTATCCAGGTGTGATGCTAAAAGGAATAACAAAAATGCTTAAGTAATACAGGGATGCCATTTAAATATATCAGTCCTTACACCAAAAATTTCCTCATTGTTAAATGTGGTATAAAAGAATAAGAGATGTACTTTAAGTTAATGAACAGTAAATGGAATTAAAAACAGAATTATATATGCAGAATGCAAGTAAAAAGTATATACAAACTCTAATTATATATAAATAGAATGCAAATAAACTATCATATATAGGTAAAATATATGAATAATACATGAAAAGAAACAAATATTCTGTGACATTTATTACTGAATAAGGAATTCTTAACAAAATAAAACGGTTTAAAAATAGTCATTAAAAATTTCAACAAATACCCTCTCCACCAAAATAACAATATAAATTTATATAATGTTAATAACAAAAAGTGTCTACCCTTTTTTTTAATGGTTTTATCTACCAAATGGCACCCCTGTCAATATGGCTGCACAGCCATTAATGCCGTGATATGTTCTTCACATGTGCCATGTTGTTGTACAGTAGTTGTAAATTTTGAGCAATCTATGACACAATAAGTATGTGTACCTTGCAATATGCTTTGCCATATATTATTATGTAGATTTTAATGCAATAGATAAAATCACTACAGGCAACTTTGCACTAAAATGAATATAATTTTAATGATATATGTGTAGGAGTTGTTATTTATGCATAGAAACTCTTGTTATTTTCCAGCAGTTCAAGATCACCCAAAGAAAAGGTCTAAATAAAGTTTTCAGATGTAGTTAAATTTTTTTTTCATGGAATTTTTTATAGTTTGAATATCTAGGTTAATGGAAAGTGTAATTCTTAAAATAGCACAGCAGAAAATGTATAAATTTGGTTTAGTGCTAACGTTTTAGAAAAGCCATAAAATATATTTATACAAACAAGTACTTTTGATGTACATAGTATTTTATAGCATGCAGAAAGTTTTTTTAAAAAATTATAAGACTGGGAAGTGGACCACTGATAACTACATGTTTAGAAATCTGTTGATTTTGTGACACTTGGTATTTATCTAGTAATCGCTTGTATACAACACTGTAATTTATACACAACACATTTGGGAAACAACATTAGATGTCTTACATGCTCAAGTCATTGTAATTCACATACAATGATTTTAGCAACTTTAATGTACTTTTTAAAAATAAATGCACTTAAATTCATTAATCATATTTTGCTGTTAATATTACCAGAAAAGTAGATACACAAATAGCTAGTTCAATATATTAATGTTCTCATTTTCATAAGATGTAAAATATATTTATACAAAATGCTGCAAGAAAATTAAAATATTTCATCAAAGATTAAAAAATTAACTTTTATAAAGTGTTTCAAACACATTATTAATATACAGCTCTTATAAAAAAAACAATTACACGATATAATACTTAAGTACTTTTTTAATAAAAAAGGTCATTTCACATTATTTTAAAGTATGACCTATGTTAAAATAAAGTGAAAATATAACAGCTAAAATCAAAATTTCCTATTTTTTTAAACAAGCAAATATTTTAAGAAAATTTACTAGAATCTAAAAGATGTAATATGTATTAAAAAATAACATCAAGCAAAGAATTATAGCATAAAAATGCTGAACTTCTAATGAAATATATATAGATATTTAAGGCAGTTTTTTGGTAAAAGCATATAAGATGAAGGAAATTAAACAGAATTTTACATCTTAGTTCTAAGAATAACAAAATTTCAAAACAATATAATAGTAATCAATATTAAAAGAATATATTTCTCATAAAACATACAACATAAATAGCTTATGTATATTTGGAATATGTAAAAAGCATTTTATATTATCTATTCATATATAAAGTATTTACGTTACTAGACATATATGCATGTAACAGTCAATGACTTCAATTATAAATATATCCCTTAAAAAGCTTTTAATCAATAATTTTCTCAACAACATAGAATATACGCCCAAGAAATATTATATGACACAGAATAAGAAGAAACTGAGCTTATTCAGAATCAACTATGTTCCATATCATAAAATGTAACTTTAGATGCCCTTACTCTAAAGGCAAAACAAAGTAAAAATGACTTGTATAATATATTTTTATTACTCAACAGACTATTTTTCTTGACAGCTTTTCATATTCTACCATTTAGATGAAATTTTTGTGAGCAATTTTCAGAAAACCTCATTATAGTTACACATTTCTACAATACCAGAAATGATATTTATAAATTTCTACTTTAACAGAACTTATATGCATGATATTATACAAAAATTTGAAAGTAAGATAAAGTGAGTGAAGCAGTACTTCATAAACTGAACACTCTATGTAACTTTTTAAGAAATTTGTCAGCGTATGCCCATGTCACATAACAAATAAAATGATTTTAAGAAGGAAATGCAGCAATATCTGAATACAAAGACCCTTTTAATAGTTCAAAAATTTCTCCCTATTAAAACATGAGTAAATCTACAAAATAATCATTTCTATTCAGATTTTTCCCCTATCATCTATAAGTATTTTGATTCTGTTGTCATATATTAACAGTTCCTGTTTTATGTACATAGGGATTTTTAAAATTTAGCTCTTTATATTTAAATTCAGAATCTTAGGCACTCACTTTTAATATTGAAGGATATACTTCTTGAATGTAAATTTGACTTTTTGATGTATATAACTTTTTGATGGGTATGTTTCGTGATAAAGCTTAAAATGTGCATTTGCCAACACCAAAAATGAAGATTAAAGTATTTACAAGCATAATTTACTATACAGCAAATAATTTAACAACTTCAGATAAAATTCTTAATTTTTAACATTTCATCTATTTCATTATTTATTGCAAATCTTTTTGTATATATAATAAACTGACATTGTAAGTGCAGGAAATACCATACTATATTTCTCTACATAAACTTTGAATTAATTACAGCATTTTGAGAGCTGAATGTAACAAGAGTTTTAAAAGTGTTCTCTATTTGGAAGCATTTTATACAATTCCTTAATCACAGTATTGTTAAAAAAGTGTATTTTGTTCCTATTTAAAGGCTTGCTATATGTTTTTGCTGTATTTATATATGTATTTTAGATTGTAAAATATATAAAACTGTAGTGTGATTATAGTTAATCATTTTGTTCAATGCAATATATTGTAAATAAAAAAATTTAAGCTGCAATATTGTTTTCATTTGAATGAAAAGTAGTTTGTGCCATTGCCAGCATTTCACAAAATTAAAACATCTAAATATGCAAATTTTTATGGTGAAAGTTTATTGTTTCACATTTGCCTAGATCTGTACATATTTATAATAATACTTATTTAATATAATAAGTTAACAAAAACTTATAAATACTACTGCACTCTGCAAGTGGAACAGTGAACAACATAAACTGACATATTATTGCAGCACACATATTGTCAATTCAAACTACATGAAAATAAATATATTTAGAAAAGGAGGAAATAGTGGAAACACACAGCAAAAAGCAGACAATACAAAAATTTTAATAATTTCTTTACAATGTTTAAAGAAAGCATCACAAAATTTTACTTAGTCTTATCCATCAATAAAGATTAAATTTCACTTCTGAAATATGAATAATATACTTCTATTGCTAAGAATATATCATTAAGCTAATGTAAATATTTCCATGCAAAATATTCCTTTAGTTATATGAAAGTTCATAAACTTAGGTAAAAGTAAGAATAAAGTATGTAAATAAAATCATTTACAAATACTTCTGTCCATCAAATGTTGAAACATATTAATCATTTTTAACTATTACAAAAACCAAATTATCTATAAAAATTTAGTATTATGCTGTAATTAACATGGACAAAAAGTAGAAGAAAATTTATTTCAGACAAATGAATAAATTCACAATAAGATAAAAATTTATGAAATGAAGCAAAATGTACTTTTGACAGAATTCCTTCTAAATTCCCCAGAAAGAGAAAATTTTGTCTGTAAGTAGCAAAAAGTATAATCTTTCAAATCGAAATATCTTTCATATGAAGAATTGATTAAATTTCAAAAATTTCATTTCTCAAAACATTCCTAAACCTCTAAAAAGAGTATATATATAAATATATATTTTATTAAACTAAATGAACTTATGAAACCATTTAGACAAAATAGTGTTTTGAATCTGTTTATTGCTTGGAAAATATATTATATACAAAATGTATACATGGGTGCACACTATCCCATTAATAAGAAAATAACTACCAACAAAGAATACTTCTTAAACTTGTATCTCTAAGATCAGCATGAAAGGTGTATATAAAAATGTTTCTTCTAAATCAGATCTTTTGACATTCCAAGAACACTGGCAGTGCTGATGGTAAACCATGATCTATCATGTTTCATTCCATGATATCTCAAGGCACCCTAAAGGCACATATTTGAAAATGCATTTAATAATGTGCATTAAAAGTACTTATTTAAAAATACTATATTTAATAAATCAAAAAAAAAGATGAGCAACTAACAGCAGTATAATAAAATGATAATCCATTACAGTGGAGAATAAACAAATTTAATATCATTGACAAATATAATTAGGTTATTCGTTTCTTAAATGATGCACACAAATATAATGGGATAAAATCAAATTAATGTGCTTTAAAACAAAGCTATTTTATATAAAAACATAATTTTTAATATAAATAATTTGTTTCATAATTCAAACTTATGTGCAATTAAAATGCAAGATAAAAGTTAAGTTCTTTCCCATGAAAACATCACCAGGCCTAATCCATCACAGAACTTATCAAAATATAGTAAATGAAATCAACAAATTCAAAAGCTCTTAATAACATACATTAAAAATAAAACTGCACATTTTAGGTATTTCTGTTTTTCACCGTCGAAGACTGTCTTCTATATTTTATATCAAATGACTCATATATTAATATTACACATATATATACTTAAATACACTTTAATATAGCGTCTTTCATGCATCAGTTTTGTGAAAATATAAAATGTTTATGTAAAACTCAGACATACATTGTACAGAAAAAAAAATCTAGTTCAACAGTCAATGAGATAAAGATGCCTGTCACATTTCCTTCCTTTGAAACACAGAGATGTAAGACAGACATAAGTATAAAAACAACACTACATGCATAAGTACCAAATAATCAGTACAGACTGCAGTAGAATTTTTCTTCTACAGAAGGACTAGATCAACATTTAACTGAAGTTTAAGTAACAAGAGCAAATTGTAAATAACAATGCTATAAACTTGATAATCAGCATTGACAGCCATACTTTGATACATTACAAACTGAAAGGTAATAAATATGAGCACCACCAATCATCAAAATGTTTAGTGAATTTTATATAACAAGTCCAGTTGTCAGTTTTGGTAAAAGTACTAAAGTGTCTCATAAACAAGCCTGTCTTCACAGTGATACTTAACAGTGAAATATACCAATATCCACTTCAGGTATATGGGTAGTTTCCATATTGGTACAGGGAGACAAAGTAATAAACTATTACTTTGACAATTTGCTGATAACTCGAATAAGAGCACCATTTTCTTCACGTAACCTTTCATAATCAGCCTTCAACAGTTCATGTTGCTAAAAAAACAAAAATATTTTACCATAACTAAACAATATATTAAAGACTTTTAATAATGGTAATAAAAAACACTACATAGGCCTGTCAGTATCTCTAAATGTTGTGGATATACATATATCTAAATGTGCAATTCAACACTCATATTTTGATTTATATATAAAATTTTAGAGAAACTTATTTATTATAAAAAAATTGCTGACATTATGCCATATAAAAAAAAACATAACGGTAACAGTGTCATACACTGGCACAGCATTTTAAATAGGCACACATGTAGTATTATTTTTTAAATGCCAAAATAATTTCTTTAATATTGAGACACGACTACTCAATCCCTAATGTTAATACAGAATGCGCTGAAAGGACACACATACATTTCTGAAAAACAACATTCAAAATAGCCAAGCAGTTAATGAAGCAGTAGAAAGAGTAAATTTTATTAGTAACATGGGTGAAACACAATGCATCTGCTCATTCTTTCCTGTGGAATGTGAGAGGAGGTTTAAATTTATTTGCATGCACATTCCAAAAGAAAAGTAATTTTACCTATTTGGATAATTTGCACACCACTCGTGACAATGCTCGATTTTCGGCCTTAAGCTTTTCATTTTCAGCCTTTAATTTGGAAATATTCTGCAAGAGAATTATTGTGCAATTTTTGGTGGAACTGGCGAAGAAAAGACATTACCACTAACCAACAAACTGACAATAATTCCACTTTCACCTGCTAACCTAAAACGATGACTACACCGAAAAAGCACTTTTCAATAACAATGCAGAAACCAGCAAATTCAGGGTCATACTTTGTCTACTCATTATGAGTTGACCAAACAAAAAAAAGGATCAACAAAGTTGGGGAAAACTGAATTTCATTTGTACAAAACTATAAAATGAACATTACATTCAAAGAAAATAATTCTTGACTTTTAACTTTCAAGAATATGCATGAAATATGAAAGCTAAGAATAAAATATCAGTAGTTAAATCAAAAGACTTATCGGAACAGAAAAAGGTCTGATCATAACATTCATTTTTAAAATTAGTTTACCAATGTATATTAACCCCCTCACATGAAGTATAAATGAAAAATGTCAATTACAGTTAGATGGGAATGAAAAATAAAGAAAGTCGAATCTACTCCTGATTTTTTATTAGAATGTAAAAACTTCAGGGAAACGTATGTGAGAATCAAAAGGATATATAATATTTAATACAAAGTGAAATATTGAAAGTGGAATATTGATCTTATTATCCCACTTAGAAAAATGTCTTATTTAAAAGGAATCTAAATGCACAAGACCCTAAAAGGTACATTCATAAAAATTAATTTTCTTCTCTAATTTAAAATAATAAAAAAAATTACAATCAATAAAATTAAATCAGTACATATACTTAAAATATAGTAAAATTTCTACATAAAATTGCTGTATGATAAAACATATTATTGTACGAAAACAGGTATAATGAAGTAAAACATGTATCATAATAAATTTCATGAAAATAATAATACACAAAAGAATCCTTCTGGAACAAATTTGGTCCCTTTAACTTCAGAGAAAAGTAGTGGTAGACAAAGAGGTACAAACAGGAAATCCATACCAGAAGGAATTATATATCCTTCATGCCCATATCTTGTAATGAGTTAAACCTATATGACAATTTACACCACCTAAGGGTGTTTTAGAAACTATGAATTCAAATTCTAATACTAACAATTACACTAAGTACATGCATAAATGCAAAGTAGGTAAATGTTTACTGAATACTTCCAAATAATGTCTTCCTTGTAAGAATAGATATGTTTATGCAAAAAAATGCATACTTTTAGCTCTCACTTTAACACCAAAATAAACAATTTTGCAAGAAAGAAAATCCCAAAGTATAAGCCAAGAATACCAGAACCAGTTCTTATACCAGAACCAAGAATTGCATTCACATTCCTGTAACTTTCTGCAAGAACTAGCAAGTATTATTATGTGTTTTCAAATACATTTTTATCTATCCTACATACACTTCTTCAAATAATGTGAAGATTTTATCCCATATAAAAAGTGAATAAACAGACAACTGTACATTAAATTAAAATTAATCAACAATAAGAAACAAGATTTTTCACTATTTCTGAAACACCTGCACTATACACGAATTTCTTACAGGAAAAAAAAAAACACACAAATACTTTGAAAATACCAGAAAAAATAGTTATTTAAGAAAATCGCATAAAAACAGCTTACTTAACATTAATTGAACAAAATGCCATAATGAATGGTAATGTAGAAAATAAATGGGAAAATATTAAATTATGTATTAAATGAACAACTATTATGGCCAGAACTTACAATTCAGTAAGAAAAAAGATAAATTCAAATTATTAAATTAAATACAGGATTGCAGACTACTTAACTATTGTACCTGATATTTAGATAGATAGATACTCATTACCAAGAAGTTAATTACATGTACCCAAAGATATTTTAATAAAATGATGCTGTTGTATTTGGCAGGAAAATAACCATGCACATCTAAAAGCACATTAAATTATGCATTGTTGAAAGGGTTTGGAAAATATTCAAGCGGAAGAAAAAGACACCAAACATTCTAAAGAAGAATTCAATTATAATTACCTACCTATCACAAGTCATACACTTAATTTCATAAGTTGCAGTATTCAGTTTTGTAAAATCATCAAACCAAGCACTATAAATCTATTTCTTGAAAGTATTAAAATACTGAAATACAACATGCATTATCATTTAAAAAAATCTAATAATGACCTTAATTTCTTCTTCCATTTCAGATAACTTCCTTTCCAAACTTCTTCTTTCCTATATTACGGACAGAAATGAAATATGTAAAAATATTTACATTAATGTTGTCATCACTGCAATTGAAAGTTAATATGTCATTCAGCATGATTCAGTCACTCCACATATACAGATTTTCATCTGAACATCCAACATTTTCAAACATTTTCCTCTTCCTTTTTCTTTTATGTCACTCAAGCATGGATTGGTAGCAAAAATTATGCATACAATTTCCCAGCATTTTATTTTAGTTAGATGAAAGGTTCTACTCATGACCAACTACATGATAAAGATTAGAAGATACAAATTCTACTTTTTATTTTAATATAAATTAAATTTTAGTTCACAAATACAGGGGTAGGACAAAAATATAGAAACACCAAAATAAAAACATATTACTCTGATTAATACGATGTAAGAAAACTATTGGCATTAAAAACAGCTTCCAGTCTTGTTAATGATGGTGGTGGTGGATAGCATTCATGCAGATTTCTCTCCCAAATAGCCCACAAGGGCTCAACTATACTGATATCTGGTTAGTGTGGTGACCATGGTAGATGTGAAAAATCCCCCTCATGGTCAAAAAACCAGTACTTGACAATGTAAACTGAGTGAACAGGAGCTCTGTCATCTTGGAGTAGGGTATCATCACTGGGGAACAAAATTTGTACCAATGGGATCAGACAAAATGGTCACATAACCTTTGGCAGCAATGTGACCTTTGGACATGAACAGCCAAAATGGTCACATAACCCTTGGCAGCAATGCGACCTTGCACAGTAATGATGGGTTCCACAGAATACCATGATATGGCTGCCGAAACCATGACCCCCCACCATGTTTCATTCTTAGCATCAAACAGTCTATTATACACTTAGCACAGAATTTACCAAACTCACCCAGAAGTCAAACAGTCTGAAACAAGACTCATCTGATCAAATGACAGTATTCTATTGTTCAACATTCCAGGTTTTATGACTTTGTCACTACTTACAAGCATTCTGATCGCTGATGAATTTGGCACTACTTACAAGCATTCTGATCACTGATGACTTTGGCACTACTTACAAGCATTCTGATTCTGATCATTCTTACAAGAATTCTGATTATTGATGAATGGCTTTTGAATTGCAGTTCTCCCAAAATTACCCTGCTTGTGGAACTGGAGCTCCCTTCGTATTGTTTCAGTGCTGAAAGGGTTTGCGAGTGTGACATTTAGTTCAACAGTTATTTTGCGGCTGTAGTCCTCTTTATTTTTTGTCACAATCCTCTCCAATGATCATCTGTCATGATCAATCAACACACATCTTCGTCCACACTGTGATTTAATGGATGTGCTTTTTCCAGTTTTCCTGCATGAGTTAAAAAGCTTAGACACTGTGTCTCATGAAACACCCAAAAACTTCAGCTACATTGGTTTTGGAAGCACCCACAATATGAGCCCCCAAAATGTGCCTGTTTAAATTCATTTAGCCCCGACACAATGCACTCACAACTGTACAGAACAGTCTCTGTAATGAACGATGCAACATATAGAGGATGTTGTTTGGTTTGTTTTGGTTACAACAAAGCCTTGAGGGCTGTCTGCCTAAGGGGAGGGATGCCTTCATGGAGGACTTTCTAAGGGAACTGGCTCATATACATGTTACACATGGGGAAAACCATCAAAACACCCATGCAGCCAGCCCATTTGCGGGATTCGAACCTCGGACCGAACTACCAGTGTTCAGCAACTATACCGCTCGGTCGTTTGTGGCTTTGAGGATGTTGTACAGATGCGTTTGTGAGCAAACACATTAGTGCCACCCACAACTTTTGCAAGAATAAATATATCAATTCAAACATGCATTTTAAGTGCTTCCATATTTTTGTCCAACCCCTGTATATTCATGCACATTATACCAGACTTAATTTGCTGTAGGATAACGTGCACATAACATGCTTTTAAGAAAGAGCTACGCAACAACTAGATACTGTTGTACAACTTTATTTAAATCTTATTTACCTGAGTTACGAATTTATGTTCATACCCTGAAATAAAGACAAAAAAAAAAAAAAAAAAAAACTGAATATACATTACTTAACACTGCTTCTAATTAGCCTCTTTTAAATTGAATGAGTTGCTTTTCTCTCTCATTTTATCTGTTTTATTACAACAGTATTCTTATTTTCAAAGTAAATACTGCTAATAAAAAGTTTCTGAATCATTTTACCTTAGTTTTTTGTTTACTGAAATAACTAACCTAAGAAACAATACTTATATTCAGAAAAATTAAACCATATTTTCCAATAACAGAAAATTTATTTTATTATTCTGTTTATTACATTTATTGTTATTTAAAGCACCTAATATTTTGTCAATATTAGATGCTTTAAATAACACTAAATGATTATATGAATCACTAATAATAACACTTTATAATTAATTAATGTTAATTAAATGTTACAATTTTCAAGAAAGTAGTATTTTTATATTTTAAGATGTCATTCTACTTATGTATTTACTCTAAAATATTTTTATTCCTTTTGCCAACTAATCACTGGTCTGGCAAGGGTTGAGTCCATTGTTAAACTTCACAGCCAACATCAGTAAAAGTGTTGTTTAAAATGTATTATAAGAAATAATCCAATACTGCACCTGCAGACAAAGAGGAACAGACAATAAAATGTCTATGTTCCATCCCTGATTTGAAGACAGGTCTATCATGTAATAACTGCTGCCACTAACAACAGCATTAACTGGGCTGGCTATTTATTGCCTTAATTATAAATAATTTTTATTCTGAAAATCTAACCAGCAATTCATAGCAGTGTGTGGGGGGGATTCGACCCCCCCAAATGACAATCTCTAATTACGGCTAGAAGTTAGATCAGATAAAGCATCAATAAATACTAAAGAACATATACACATTATAGTAAAAATTAATCATGATTCAGTGAATGATAAGTAGTAATGTAATGGTTCAGCAGTGATTCAATAACATGAAAAAGTTAATGATGACCAGAAACATGTAATCTGTATGAAGCATCAGCTGTTACCAACTATTATAACTTGTTTTGGACTAACAACTCAAGTTAGTTTTTTAACTGAGAAAGGTGTCAAGAAACACAAATATCAATTTTAAATTCTGATGACAAAAAGCAATAGACAGTTTTCACATTTATGCCAAAGTGGATGCTTTTTGAATGATTATAGCCATCAAGAAATTATAGATTCTGGTTTTACTTATACTCAATTTTGAGGTAAACTTTCAACTTCTTTAGTGAGATTTTTCTGTTTGTTTATTTATTAAACTTATAACTAAATACATGCTTGCATTTTTTCTCCAGTTTGAGGCTACATAACTAGTTAGCCGTAAGATGGCTGTAGTTTATCTTTGAAACATTATTCTGCTATTTGGGCTAGATGAGTCAGATCTGCATCAGAAGCTCAAAAAATTACTTGCATATTGGAAGTTTTTGAATCCATAGGCTTTAATGGACAATATCACATATTTTCCTTGATAATTTTTTTGGTACTTGCTTATCGCAACCACCTTAGTAGAAGTTACCACATTTTCAGAATGTGCCAAACTCTAGCAGAAATGCACATACACATTCTTCAGGCAATCATGCTAATAACAGTGCTAACAAATCAAAGGGACATCCCTTGCAAACTGAAATAATTTTGTAACACTGCAGGAAAATTCCTTCCAAAATAATTATTTATAAATGTGCCACAAAACCTGAACTGTTTAAGCTCTGCCCTACAGAGAGTCAGTCACATATTACCGATTACAGCACAAAGCCCAGATTCATTGGTCCTCTGGCAATTCCAGATTTTGTATCATCAGTTAAAATCTCATAAGATGACATGCAAACAAAGCAACATTGGGTCTTCACTCACTATTCAGGTCAGGTAAAAAATGCTAACTCTCCACAACCACTCAAGGATAGTCGCAGTCAACATCAATTGTCATGGTGCAATACTGTAACCAAAACGAGTTTGAAAAATCATGCAAGAAATTCAATTAGGTAGGACAAAAATCGCCTTTAGGACACACTTGCTGCTTTTTTTGTTGAGTATTATATTCTCCATTCTTTGATTATGTAAGGTGAGGTGGGATTCATAAGGATATATGCTAATGTTACAGAGGTTTGGGTATTAGATTATAAAAGTTACTGGATGTTTGAATTTGGAGTTTGTACAGTAATACTTCAATTTGAGATTGATTCAAAGGAAAGTTCCATTCCAGTAGCTTAATAACATAAATGTTAATTTTCATTACCTTTAGTTCAAGTCCAAAGCAAATACTCAGTATAATGCAATCAAACCATGACCATGTGATGTAATAAAAATCACAATGTGATAAATATTTAACTTGAACCCCAATGTTTATAAATTTCAAGCTACACAAATATATTTTCAGCAACAGTCAAAAAGTGAGAAAAACAGTTTAATCATAATATGTAAATGCACAAAAATGTATGCAACTCTAAAACAGCTTTGCATAACTATTTATAGAGGCCAGAGATATAAAAATACCTTTTTCTCTGCATCGCTCAGTGAATTCTTCGCAGAATTACTCTGAAAAAGAAACTATCGTTATGCTTGCTTAATAGACATGTGTATATAGTAAAAAAAAGTATATTAGGGGCATATTAAATATTTTCTTTTACAGAGTATAATGTGAAAATTACATAATGAAAAATGCATCATATGTAATATAGAAACAAGCCTGAAAATGTTATGTAACATATTGATTGCATATCATAACAAATACCAAAATCACACTAAATTCTTTTTGAACAAAGATGCTAAAAGATTTGAAAAGATTTAACAGAGGGATCTGGTTCACTAAGTGATGTTGCACAACTGAAAGCTATATATGCAGTGTGTCAGTCTTTCAGAGAAATTTAGGTAATGTATAAAAGAATCAAAATATGGCAACTTTCAAACATAAATGGGAGCCTCCCCCCAAAAAAAATCCTCAGTCAACAAAAGCCCTACACTGCACATATTTGCATAAAACATTTTCATTTCAATGCAATGCCACCCTCTAAAGAGCCATTCAGCTGGTTATAGTATGACAGACTTTCAATTAATTCATTATCTCTCTGCACGAGCAGCAAACATGCCTAAAGCTCCTACACAGGTATTGCATAGCCATGGACCGATCTCCAAGAATGCCCTGTCATAAAGGTGCTAGCACCTTTATGGCCCCTTTATTGCGGGTTAACCAGTATCTCCTGTGATATAAAGTTTCGTATCAGTTCACCAGCATCCAAATGCTCCACATTTATAAAGAACCGTTTTTAAAAATTTAAAAATTAAATATTTCAGTATATTGTTTGTTTTACATAAGTCCCAATTTCTTTTTTTCTCTTTTTAATACTAGTCTATTTTTGTTTTACAGAAGTCAATTTTTTTTTTTTTTTTAAATAATGAGCATAATTTTTGTTAAAATTTAACTCTAGAAAAAGAAGAATATTAAGATTTCATAATTTTTACAAAATTTATTCTTTAAATTAAAAAAATGCATAAACATGAATACTTGTGTCATTTAAGAAGTTTTTGTAACTGGATGTCTATGATCATCAGCTGTGGAAATAAAGACCACATAAACATATTTAGTGGGCACTTATGGACCCACAGAACAGAAATTGGATAATCTGAAATTTTCATCAAGTTGAATAAGCATTTCTTAGATATTTATATTGAAAACCAAAGTAAGTAGAACTACTTAAATTCAAAATATTCAATATGCTTTTTTTCTTCTTCCCCTAATGACACTCATAGCTGCAACCTTAATCCTAAAAAACAGATTTTTGTGAGAAAACACAAGGTTTTTCACATTGTGTGGCAACCCCATTTGAAAGGAATCTGAAACTAACTTCAATTCACTTTACATGAAGTACTTGAAATTCATTTTGGATGTAAAATACATTAATATTTAATTGAATATTCTATATTTTATGTTCTTTGGTTCATTTTTTTTTTTTTTTTTTAAAATTTTTATCGCACTTTTACACTAAGGTCCAGATTATTGAAGGAAAGTTTTCCTTTATCAAAATACTTTTAAATACGATGAAAGTAAGATTAATAATCAATGTACATAGTATTTGGATAGATAAATTTAATAATGTATCATAGACAAAGTTAAATATAAACTATTGACTGATTAAAATATTGCTTGAATCTTCATTTAAAATCTACAAATGTCAACAACAGATTAAGGCAAGTATATCAAATGAAATTTAATGAGACAAATTTAATACAACAAAATGGAATAAAACCCTAATTCAAATTAAATAAAATTTAATAAGAATATTTCTGAAAATCATTAGAGATGGGGGAATGAAAACTGCCTAATTTAGATTTCATTAATTTAATAAATTTCATTTATCGCTGGGAAACATTGTCCTTAGTACAGGCTGAAAACAGAACTGGAAGATTTTAGTGATCTACTGGGAGATGTGATTAAAAAGAAACAGCCCAGTAAAACCAAGAGGGTTTTTGCAGCTATGGGCACTGAATATTTTTGTTTCAAATAAAGCAAACATTTCCGGCACTGTGCACATTTATTCTATTTAATATAGTTTCCTTATAAAAATTACAGGTAATATCTTAAAATATTGTTTATATTACACTGTTCACACATAGTAATAGTTTTGCTGGTGGAAAGGATGGATAAGAAGACGACTTCATCCTCTGTTGGTTGTTTGGATAATTACAGTTTTGCAGGCATTTTCAAAAATTTGAAAATTATGAGGTACATAAAAAAGTATGTGCCATGCAAGAACAGGAATGTTGAAACAAGCTATCCAAATAGGTTCAATATTGTGTTCCCATAACAAACTGGACCATGAGCACAAGCATGAATGTGCAATTCAAAAAATGTTGCATAGTACATGCAGAAATTTGATGGTATTTGTGATTCTTACTGTTTTGATATCTCTATAAAAACATGTTATACAATAAAACATCTCCCTATTTTTTCACTGCTTTACATTTTATCTAGAAATTAATCTAAAACACAAAAATCCTGTACTTTATATGAATGAGAGTTGGTCAATTAATTATGGTGAAGCATATGAGGCTCTCTACGTATAAGGAGGCATACCTTCACTGTACACCAGACATTAATAAACCGATGTACTTGATATCTGGTCTTGTGAAGGACTGACAGAACTCCAGTCATGATTCTTCTCTCAGTCCAAGAACATGTCATGTTGGAATACTGGATGATCAGCTCAAAGAACACTGGAGAATAAGTTGGCACTTTCACAACTTTATTCATGGCTCAACTACACCAGTGAAATAAATGCTATAACAAAAGGCGCAAAGGATTAACTTTTTGCAGCCAATCACCGACTAGATGCAGCTCCAAAGCATTGCAAAGGAACATCTAGATGGTGTATAAAAGACATCTTGATGTTAAAGCATAACTTTCACGTGAATGTGATTTCCTAGAACCATGCAAACTGTACCAATACCTCGCAGATGAGTTTACAAACAGTATGAACAGCTATAACCATTTGAGAAAGGATGCCCAATGGGACTAAAGGAAGCATAGTTGTCAAATGACAGGATCACTAGACATTTAGGCTGGAGCGATGCTACCATTCAATGTTGTTGGCAGGAATGAATGAATCATGGCCACACAGAGCACCAAGAAGGTAGCACTTTACTGAAGGTGACAACAGAACCTGAGGATAGAGTGATTTACATTCACAGCCTAATGCATCCTTATCAATAACCTAGTGTGTCACTGGGACATAAGTGAATACAATGTTCATTGATAGGTGATGGGGAGAGGCAAGATCATAGAGGCCAACAGCATCAATCGCCTCTTCCCTTTGCACATTGCCAGGTTGATGCCAGGAACCCCTTTGGTTGATATCCCATCACTGACATCCTTATAGCCTTCCAGTACATTCCTAAACTTACTTGATTCTATGCTCTATAGTGTTAATGCTCCCTTTCACTGACCCTTGGCCTTACATTTAAACTGAATAATGCCCAGACACATACTGCACACTTTCTACTGTTTGTCCATGCTTCTTCAATACTTTCCTGGCTATCTTGATGACTAGATCTCTCCCCAATTTCAGTACGCTTGGGCTTTGATGACCAGGCATCTCCAACCATCCCTGGATTAATTTAACATGCCAGTTGAAAATGTATGGCAAAAAATCTTGCAACAAGCCATATAACAGCTTGCATCAGGGCTAGAGAGAGGCCAACATATTACTGATTTTTTTCCTCTTGTAATACTTCCTGAATAAAACATTCAATACTTTCTCTATTATTAGCATTTCATTTTCAATAAGGGTGGGTACATTGTGTGACAAAAATGGGACAGTTCCATATCTCCTGCTTTACTGGGCTGATTGACAAATCAACCTGCATTTTTCATGTCTTGAAAAAGTGACTTAGCAGATTTATACATAGTATTGTCTTAACGTAGGCATCTGTAACATAGACATTTGTGACACAAATCTGACTTTTTTAAAAAGAACATACCAATTTTTTTTCCATATTTCAATCTTATGCTGAAGCTTCATAAAAATCACCTGGGAAGTTTTTAAAAAATAAGGTCCCGAAATTTTAATTGAATTTGATATTTATAAATATCTCTTTTATTATTAAACTTACTTGATTCCTTCTTCCAAGGAAATCAATCACTAAGGCATTAACACTCTCGAGGCCAACAAGAAACCATTTATTTTTATTTAATTAATTTAATCTATATATATATTTATCTGCATAAAATTTAGCCTTTTTTATGATATGCTATTTGATTTTTGTGATTTAAAAAATGAAAAATTTGAACTTATTTGGAAGTAAGAATAATATTTTAATAAACTAAATATAGGATGATAAAACTGTATAAAGCGAGTGTATAGCAAAGTGATAAAAATCGCTCAAAATTATATTCTAAATTCAAATGCTGCTAATACAACTTTCTGATTTATATATTTTATCTGAACGTCCCACTGAAAGACATATAAACAGTGTTTTACTGTATTTTCTCTTTTTAAGGTAATTTTTCTTTTAATGCAGTTTTCAAAGGCATCATGAGGAATACAGGGCAACAAAGCATTCTTCTGAAAGAAATGCTATTCAAATAAAAGATTTTTTTTTTAATTATAAGAATAAAGATGTTTAAAGTACAAAATGCAAATGAATAAATATAAATTTTTAAAGTAATTGTTTGAAGCACTATAATTCAACCACACAATTCAAATGATTAAAATAATATTCTAACAAGAGAAAAATGTCTAATTGCCCCAAAATAACAACTGTGATTAAGAAACATAATATGAAGTAAAAACATATGCAAGAAAGGCAGAAATCATATTTTCTTCCCCCTCATGCAGAATGAAAGAGAAATAGAATTTCACCAAGTGGTTGGCCTGAAAAAAGTGTGCCAATGTAAATTACAGAATTACTGATTAAATTTCACACCAAAGTTTGTTTTTATGCACAATTTAAGTTGAAGAATCAAAATATGAAAAAAACCCGGTATGCCATATGAGGAGTAAAATGAAATTCTAAAAAGAGAAAAATGTCTAAAAATAACT